GGCCCCCAGGCATCGGGGGGGCTGTCGCCGCCTGTCGCCGAGGCAGTCGGAGCATCGAACGCGTCTCGCCGAGCGCCTCTGCCAGGCCCGCTGGGCGCCAGGGTCGGGGCCGCTGTTCCGCTCCTCCGCTCGGGGCCGCGCTTCCACTACCACTCAGCCAGGCGGCGACCGTGGGCGACGTGGCTGCGGTGCAGAGGCGCAAGTTCAGCTTGCAGCGGCTGCCCGGGGGTGGCTACGACTAGGATTCGGATGCACTTGAATGCAAAAGGGAACTTGTAGCGTCAGCGACGGCCAACTATTTTGCCTTGGAGAGCTCTGCCCTCGCAGCGGCCAGGATCCTCCTCCGCCGGGCCGATCCCAATGCCGTGGTGTGGGGTGGGGTGCGGACCTTACCTTGCGCGTGGCGTTCGGTGGGTCTGCGACTGAGCCTCTATCTACGTATGAGCTCTGCGGTGCCAATTTTCCCGGAACTCCAAACAGCCCCTTTGTAAGTTTGGAAGCAAGGTCACAGCACTGATGAGTGCTGCGCGCCATGGCAGGATTCAGGCCGCTGAGCATTCCGTGCTAGTTGAAACCGAAAGCCCTGGATGGATGTTGCCTTTGTCTGCCTCTGGAAGGTTGCTAAGCTGCTGCTCTCGAACTCAGCAGAGCCGGCCCACTGCTGAGGTTTCTGAAGCTTTAACGCCTTTCGGACTGCTTCCGTCCGTCGGCGATTTGAAGCATGAGCGCAATTGACAGGTAACAGTAGCTGCATGAAGCTATCGCTACCGCAAAGGATGAGAATGAACCATGCGGGAATCCCACGATATCAAAGCTGTCGCAAGGTTCGTGCGCGGTTGATGCTTGAGCGTGTCACCTTGTCGGAAGCTGTCATTCAAGAATACCAGCTGACCTAGATTGACCTAGCGGTTCGTGACACTCCAACTGGTGCACGTAAACCATGCTTGATCTCGTGCTTCGAGACTTAGTTGCATGTAGCTTGGAAGAAACCTGCATAGGTCTGACTGACCTTTCCATTGCCCGACTGGTTTCGACACACCCAGGCTGTTTTGTAAGCCTGGTGGAGTCACCCTAGTCATAGCCCGTGATCTCTGTTGCAAGACCTGGCTTTGTCGGTACGCGGTACGCTAGACAAAGTCTGTGCGCCAGGCCCGAACCGATATGCTTGGACGAACGGCCTTGGCAACTTGGCCCAAAGTGCATCTTTCGGAGTTGCAGAGAAGCCTCTTCTGAGACCAAGGTAGAGAGATTCAAAATCAACTGAAATTCCGATCAACAGGCTTGCCAGCCCAGCAGAAACAGCTGATCAAAGTGACTCTCAGCACCCCCCGTTGTCCTTTTGATTTTGCTATCGTCACTGTAGCCTTAATGTCCTCGTCCTCAAGGACCATGCTCGTTCCCAGCCGGCACGGCAGAGAGAGTGGTCGGCGCCCGAGAGCCTCTGTGGGTTGCTTCAGGCATGACCAAAATAAATGTGCAGCCCGGTTTCAGAAGGAGTCTTGTAGCAGGCTTACTATGGCCACACACATAGCAGGAGAGGGACCACGAACTCGAACGCAGCTTGTAAGGCCACGACTTGAGGCCGCTAAGCCTTAAAGCTTGCAGGTTCCCGGACGGGGGCCTTGAGCCCCAAAGCTTGACTTTCGTTATCAGAACTGCTTGAAGCTGAGGCTCCGCGGGAGAGGGGTGCTGGGGCGGGCCGAGCTGGCCCCTTGACGAGCATCCGGAGCTTCCTTAATCGCGCATTTTGCAGAAGCGAGAGTCATACCTTTTCTCTGTGGAGCCTGCAGGCGTTGGGGTTAAGTCTTGGCTGTGGGACTGAGGAGGGTTCTGCAGAGGTCCGGCCGACTTGTTTGGCAAGGGGAGCTCCGATAGGGCCTGGTCGGAGCCGGGCTAAGGAGGTGCAAAAGAGCGCAGCACGAGGCTTAGGTGCTCGACCTGAATCTGAAGTTTCCGCCCTAAGCTTTAGCTCGAGCCGTTGCCCATGGGCTGTTTGCCCGTGTTCTCATGCTACGACGTGAAGACCGCGAGACCCTGGCTTCTGCCATAGGCACGACGTCGTGAAACCTCCAATCCTGAATTCCTGAGCTTCGCTGAGGCATTGCTTGACATCTTGCAGCCACATCTAGAAACGCGAGACAGCGTCCTTTCCTAGAGATCGGGCATAGCCATGCGGCCTGCGCCGGTCGCGGCCGATGGTCCGAGGCTGAGATCGTTAGCCATCGCACTTACCGGACTGGTTATGAATTCATGAATTGCCCCGGTCTCCATGCTCTGTTCTTGCCCGTCGTTGTAGTGCAGTCGAGCAGACTGTGCATTGAGCATCCGCCCTCAGCGGGAGAGTGAGTCTAATAGCCCTGACAGGTTTGAGAAACCTGACTACAGGGACAGCCCCGACAACCCCAGGATGCCCATGAACACGAGAACCTGGATGCCAAAAACAGCAGATATCTCGAACCAAAATCTCTCTGCCGTGTTTGGCACCCTCAGCAAAAAGTCCGTGGCAATCCTGAGGCGTTTTTGCGGAAAAAACAATCATTTTGGAGGCTTCGAAGGCTGTTTTGGAGAAGCGATGAGCCAATGATGCACATCATGCTGGGTTGGGGGGTCGCAACAAGGGTGCTTGAAGTGTTTGTGTGTTCGCACTTTGACAACACGAGCTTTCATTTCCAGCTCCGACTTGGAAAAGGCGACGGTTGCGAGGATCGTCTGAACCCAACCAAGATGCGAGGGCCCAAAGTCGAACACAGCAAGAGGCACAGGGAAGGAGCCGCCAAGATGCAGAGACTGTCGGTTCAGTCGCCTCGTACTGCTGCACACTGCTGTGCGTCTGTGGAGACTGGAGGCTGATGCCAATACCGGGCAGGAGAGCTGTCTGCGGAGCTGTCTGATGTACAGGTTTTCGGGAGAAGATCCTTTTGGTCCTAGGCCTTCTTTCGGATGGTACTTTCACATGGCTTGCCACCCTCGAGTTGATCCCGAAAGCATGTTGGAAGTTCTTCGCTGGAGTTCCCCTTGCTTCCACTCATGCTTTGCAACCCGTCCGTGCAAGCTTGTTCTGATCATCCGGAGGGCTCTTCCTAGCCTCGCAAAGCGTCGATTTCCTTTCCCTCTTTGTCACTGGTTTGGCAGGAGCTGCGACTGGGCGCGAGCCCTTCGCTTGCTCCGAAGTGTGGAGCAACAAAGGCTGGAAAAGGCATGAGTTTTTGTGCACGCAGCGTGACGGTGCTGCATAGCCAATCTAGCAGTTTTCCCGCCAGACGTGACAGAGTTGAGCTGAACTCTAACGGGTCAGTCTGGTAGACTGCCTCCTAGCTGGCCGATGCAGACGTGGCTGTCACTGGAACCGACTTCGCAGCTTATCCAGGCAGTGGGTGCACATCAAGCACGGTGGTCCTTTGTTCGGAGGTTCTTCGAAATCCGCCACTTCACTAAGTCCTTCCGCCCATGAGGAGGAGGCTTATCCTACAGGCTTGTCTCCGAAACATGCACGAACCTATTGCACTTGCTCAGCCGGGATCTTTGTGTGGCTCTAGTGTTCTCAAGCCGCAAACTAGCGACTGAAGTCTGTCCTCATTTGACACTGAAATAAGGCCAGCTACAAGACCGGTTTCACGTCAGTTTTACAGCTGCAAAGCCTTGTTCATTCATACATTGTCTTGCTCCCTGCATTCCGGGAAGGGCCGCTGGGAAGGTTCGGCTGCAGCCAGATATCTGCGCACATCAGACGAGGTGAGGGGCGCGGGGGGTTCGTTTCAGGTTTGGCTGGGAAATTGGCACTGCGCCTGAAGGATGTCTGAAGACCCTGCGTCTGTATCAGTTCCCCAGTCCCGAAACCCGCTGCGGGAGTGAAACCGGTCAGACTGACAGGATTAGGTTGTTGGCTGAGGTAAAGTGCAACGCCACGACTACGAGTGTTTATCTGTGTGAGGCATGCAGGGAGAAAGTTTCAAGCAGAGTCAGGGCATGTAGCAATGCTGTCCAAACAAATTTGATGCTGTGCCTCCGGAGCCCGAGTGCCTTCACGGCTCCTCACATCGAACGCCGCTTTTGTGGAACCCTCCTTCAGGCCACTGGACTGCGCCCGAGACGTACAGGACGAAGCTCCCAGGACGGATCGTGTTTTCACGAAAGCTAGCTCTGTTGAGCTTGCGGGAGTTGTCCTTTAGCAATTCACCTTGTATTAAGGCACTAGGGACAAAACAGAGTTTGCACCGTATCAGGTGGGACGTCCAAGAGTTAAGGTCGGGGGGGGGGGGGGGGGGTGCCGCCCCCCCGGATAAGGTGCAGCGCGCTCCCCCCCTCCCCGCGGCCCGTGGCATAAGGTAGAGGGGGGGGGGCCCCTCCCCCCTACCCTCAAGTCTCTCCCCCTCCCCCCCTCGCAAGGTCCCTCAGTTTGCTTCTGTTTGAAGTCTGTTCATGTCAAACGTCCCCCCCGCGCAAGTCATTCGCATCGCCTCACTAGTCACCCCGTGTTCCCAGCTACGCTTCCTTTCCCCTAGCTTTTGTCACCCTCTTCTCAAGTTCCATGACGAGCTAGCTTGAACCAAAGCCCTGGCAAGGAGGCATTTCTTCCACCTCGCAGCAGGCCCGTGGAGGGCAAACTCGGGCTTGAAGCATCAGCTTGAACGACAAAAGGCTCCTTGAGAGCGTAGAAGATGACCTGTGAGGGTCCTGGCAGCGTGGCAATAAATCAACTTCGATGAGCAGAACGAGTCCGGCGAGCGCAGGTCTGAGCGGACGCCAGCGATGGCGCCGTGCGCTGGCGCTGCTGGTACGCTGGGAACGAGAGCTTCAGGGTTGTCGGCATTGTAGAGCCGGTAAAGAAAAGAGGGTATGGGGATGCGTATTTGGGCCGACGTGTAGCAACAGACGATAGGTATGATATGACTGAGGGATGCCGAAAGCAATGTCGCTTCCGTGTGATAAGCAACCTTCGATCCTTGCATGACCTTGGCTCGGAGCGTCTTTGAAGATGCGGCGTTTGCTCTGAGCCGTGGATGATGAAATCACCCCAAGCATCCTGTCAGCATTTCGCACAACATTTCGCAGCCTTTTGCCCAGCACCTCGAGCCTGGAACCTGGTCCAACCAGAGTCACGTTGTCTTGCCAGAGACTCCGATGTCGAACCCCGCACGCTTGAATCGTGGATTGGGTGAGCAGCTCGAGTCTTCGCGCAACTGAGGGCTCGGAAGGACGCCCGCGCTCCGACAATGACGAAGAGACCCTGCTAATGGATTCACTGAAGAAGAACAAGCCTCTCTCTGGCAGAAAATAGTTCCGGTGGAGGGCTTTGGGTTTGAGCTTAGAGCGAGCAGACACTCTGCCTGCGGGGCTTCGGGGCTTCGACATGTCGCTTGGGGGTTATTCGCCTCTTTCCCTCTCGGAGCCCTGATATCCAGGAGCACACTCATTGGAGCTCCTGGAGAAGTTGAAGCCACTGTGGTACCATACGAGAAATGCAGATGGGACTTCTTCCTGTGTCTCGTCTTCAAGTTGGCTGTGGCTGTTCCAGAATCCGGAATCCCTCGGCCGGATTGTGATTTCACGCTCATGCAATCTGAAACTTGGCCCCGGGTGAAGTTCATGGAATCATAAGAGTCATGGGAGATCCGTAAACGGATGTCGGAGATCCTCGGAGCCTTGGAATAGTGTGGAGCATGGAATAGTGAAGGCTCAGGGCCAGAGCGGCCAGTGGCTAGTGCTTTGTGTTCTGTCTTTGCTTCGCCAGATGACTTGCGCTTGTCCTCGCTCACTGACTGGACCGCGAGCCGAACCCCCCCCCCCCCCGAATGAGTAAAATCGCTGCTCAGGAGCCACAAGCAGTCGAGACTTGGTGTTCCTTAGAGCTCGAGGGTGGGCAGGCTGCGATATCTTATCTGTTGTGGTTCCTCATTTTCAGAGCTTTGGACGTCAGCTGGTGTCAGCCTCTTGGGGGCAGTTTACGAAGACATTCTGGTATGACTTCATGGCCAATGTATACAAGTGCCTGCGTCCACTGCAGAAATCCGATAATCCGCTGGGACAGGAGCATAAAGGCGGTCTGTCCGTCTGTCGATCTGTCCCTCCCTCCGTCATCCGTCCGTCCCTCGGAGGGAGCCTCGGTGTCTGCTTCTTTCCCAGGAATGCACAGGATGCCGTGCAGAACCTGCGTTTGGCCATTGGTGAGAAGTTCATGGGGGCATCGCGCCCTGACTCAACCCCTCCGAATCGTGGGATGTCCGACAAATCTTCCGGCATCTGTTCCGCGACAGTTTGTCCTCCACGAGGGAGAGCTCCTACCTGAGTCAAGCCAGGAGCTCCCGAAGCCGAAGCTTGTCTTTGGACTATAGTGTCTGAAATCAAAGAAAAGACCGAGACCCTAGACTCTGAGCTCTTCGAGAAGCCCCTGCCATCCGCGGTGGGCCCTTGCCACCAGGTTTTGGTTGGACATCGAGCAAGATCCAACAGTCAGGGGCATGTGCCATGGAGTGTGCCACTCCAGACGCTCGCCTTTCAAGCTCTCGTCTTCTAGGTTTGGGTAGGGCTGCTTTTTGAGACCCAAGCACTGCACAAACACGAGTGCTTTGTTGTAGGCATAGGCACCGAGACCTACACGAGAGAAGGCCGGGAGCTACTGCAAGTGTAGGCAGAGACTTGCTGTAGTTTGAACTCCTACAACCCAAGCTCTTCATCACACTGCTTTTCACCTCTTTCATCGGGCCTCGACTAGCAGAGCCGCTGAGGAAATGTGCTTGTCTTCCTCACGGAGGGGATCTCGGAGAGTAAGTTTTGTCAAATGGCGGCTACGGCTGAAGTTAGAGGCACTTGGACGCTGGGTCACCTTTTCAATGTGGACGCGAAGCATGACAATCACGAGTTTCCCGTCCCCCACCCGGCCCCGACATTTGGCAGACTGATCCGGCTTGAAGATTCGATTTCCTTGTCTATGAAATCCTGAAGCGCCTGTGCTCTCAGCGTTTAGCCGCGGCCCTAAACTGGCTAAGCCCCTAAAGTTCTAAAGCTTCTGAAGCTGCAAGGCCAAGCTTAAGGTCACCAGCTGATCCTGGCATGCTCTGTTCGTTGTTTGCTTCTTAGGGGATGCATAGCCGCGTCATCTCTAACTAGCGGCCACTGCCCAAAATCCGGACCGAGGAGATGAGATGGGCGGTAGCTGCGAAACGGACTTCTGCCGGGGTGACACTGTTGCTTTCGAAAGTTCAGACTTCTGGTTCAGTATTTCGCGTTCGGCAGTTACAGGCGGCTGGGCAATGCAGGTCGGGTCTCTCAAGCTTCTCTAAGTCTAGTTCTGGGCTGCAGGAACATCATACTAGTGATGGAGACCGACGACCGCCACGGGAAACCGGACATGAAGGAGCAACTGTTGGGCACAGAGCATGCGGCCTTGCCTCGCACCTGATGTTGACTTGTCATTGTAATCGAGCCGCGCAAGCTCATCCTCTTCTTTGGCTCGAAGTTGTTTCCTCGGCCTGTGTTTCGCAGGAGCTCATCCGCAAGTGCCCCGAGGATGTGCAGCACTTGCCCCATGGTCAAGCTTGGGTTGTGCTGTTTCGGGGTCTCGGCTGTGACCTGAGTCGTTGAGAAATTTGAGCCCGGACTGCAAAAGTTCGGGACATCTTTGGTGTTTTCTGGTTAGAAGTGTCAGGGGCGGGGTTTCGGTGCGGGCCTCTCTAGATCCGAGTTTGGGGCTCAAGGCCTTTTTCCCGGACGCTTGTAGCACTGCAGGGGCGTCCAGATCGACAGCAAAGAGCTGCGCTGGCTGCTCACAAGATAACAAGAAGCTGTCAAGGTTGTCACCCAAACAGGGCATTGCAGGGAAACATCACTTCCGCCATGCAGGAAAAATCTTTCCAAGGCCCGAGCCACGTAGCCACGCCTCCAGCAACCGTCGTGAGACTATGGTCATCTGTCGCTCAAGCAAACAGAGGAATCGCAGGTCGAAGGTCACTTGCAAGAACGGGGGCTTTTGCTGAATTGACGGGCCAAGCTGCCACGTAGCACATTCGCATCTGCACAAACCCATCCAGGTTTGAGGAGATACCCATCATTCCCTGGTTCCGAGATCCGGAGTTCCGGTCGGCGCCTGGCTTCCAAAGCTATTCTCGGGGGCTTTGGGGCTTTGGGTTTGCTTCGTTACTTGTCTTGGTCTTTCCGTTCTCGAAGGGGGGGCGGTCTGGTGGCGATTCTGCTTCGCTAGACGGGACTGCTTGGATCCCGAGCCAAGGTTTCCGTCGATAAGATCGTTCGCAACCTTGCAAAGGATCCAAGGACTGCAACTGCAGACACCGCGGGCTTGTTCTCTCATGTCTTGAAGTGTCTGTTTCGGCTTCGCTATTGTCGGTCCGCAGGAAGACGGATGCCGACAAGAAGAAGTCGAAGCCACTCGTGTACGGCAACGGGGACTCCGAGGATGTGACATGCATGTCTTTTGGTCAGGCTGTCAGGCTTCAACCTGACATGTAGTCGGAACACATGCATCTTCGAAGCTGAGCAGATTCGCAAGCGCGTTCAAACATACACTTCAAGTTCTGCGGTCTGTGACAGAAGTCCGGAGCATTGGTCCCGGTGCAGGAGGGAGCAGAAGTCTTCGACCAAAGCTTCGTCAAGTTCACGGCCGCCTGTGGCGTTGCACTTCCAGGTGCCGGACGGCGCACACAGTGCTGGGCAGTGGCTTGGCGGCCTTCAGCGTTTATTGCGGTTTCTGCTACTATGACGAGTTGAGCTTGAGTTGGCAGGCCAGGCGCCTTGCAGGTCGAAAACACGGTTGCTGTTGGGTTCAGCATCAAAGCATTTCGCAGCAGTCCTTCATGCCACTGGTAGTTGCAGCACAAGTTTGGATATCCGAGCCTGAAGCTTCGAGGTCGCAGTCCGTGTTATCCTTCTAACCTGTGGCATGATGTGCTGCAGCAGACTGGCAACTCCGGAGGGACCTGGTTTTCTGGACTACCTCACCATTATTCAGAACTCTGTCCGAAATGCTTCGGGCCGTTCGGGGAAGTGGATTCGTGGAGAAGTCTGCAGTTGCAGGGTGCGTGATGCTTGCGACTTTTTCAGTGTGGAGTCTGAGTGGGCCTTCTGTTTATATTCATGAAAGCTCGTTCGCCGTGAGCCGAAAACCCCAATGCTGGCTCAAACTCTTCAGTCCGGACGCAGTGTCTTCTCCATTCTTCGTGTCTGTGGTATCATCAGATGACTAGTCACGTGATTCTGTAGATGAGAGTTTCTGCTCAGCCTCTGGCAAGCCAGGATTGTGGCGGCCCATCCGATGATCTTCTTTTTGCTCCATGTGGTTCTGGTCATTTTGCAGTCGCCGCTAGTCGCCGACTTGCTGGAGAATCATATCGACGTCGCCAGCGAGGGCAAGAAGCTCCGTTTTAAAACGATGCTTGGAGAGACTAGGAGACTTTTAAGCTTCTGTTGCCTTTGTTGCCTTGGTCTCGTTTTGACCTTTCTTCTCAGCCCCTCCCTGCCGTGACCGTTCCGAGTCGCTGAAAAGCAACATGCTCGTGGAGCGCCGAAGTCCGCGAAGTTGAGTGGCAACCTCTTTGTGTCTTATTGTGAGGTCCCACAGGTCTTAACCACACAACTGTGTTAAAAGCACAAAGGATACAGGTGATGACAGATATACAATACGACATTGTGAATGAAAGTTTGGGCGGCCTGTCACTACCATCCGCCTCCTGAAGACTGATATACACATTTTGAAGACCATGGGCCGAGATGAACATACCTTGTTTGACGGTGGAGGGATGTCGACTGATGTCGACTGAAATGCGTGTGTGCAACATGGTCCTCAACAAGCGATCGAGTATCAGGCCCCAACTGAAAGAAACCTTTTCTGCCGGGATGAGAACACCACCAATTTAAAACGGCCTAACGGCGGCCTTTGTTCCGTGAATGTTGCTTCAGGAAGCTTCTGACTGCCCTCGTCTTTCTCTTGACCACTACATTATCCCTTTGGGGATGGGTGGGCTACCTCCCTGGTCGCCCGGCAGCACTTGGTTCCCGGCTTGGAGTGTGCTTCAGAAGAGACTTCCGGTCTCAAGATAAACGAAAGAAGGTGACAGTGTCACCCTGTGCGGCATTGCTAGTGCTTTGAGTTCTCTGTCGAGGTTTGAGCCGGTAAGCCCAACGGCAACAGCCATGAAGACATGCCTTTGCACATAGATTCTTCTACGGCTCTTGGCAAGACAGATGACATGAGCGAAGGCTTCTTCTCGGCGTACTATCTCACCGCTGCAGAAGATGGAAACCCGGTGTCAGATGGGCTGGTGCGGATCCTGAAAAATGCGGGTGCATACATATATATATATATATATGTATATATATCCATACGTAAATAAAGTATAAGTAAAGAAAAAAGCAAACATGTGAACCTAGACAAACAAATGGCTTTGTCAATAATTAGAGAAACAGAGCAGCAATGCGCAAACACACAACCAATTACATGTATGTATTTACGCATGTGTGCATGTATGCATGTATGTCTGCAGGCATGTAGGTATGTAGTTATGCATGGGTTTTGTCACTGCGAGCATCTGGAGGGCTACCAGGGGACAGGAGCAGCTGTTTCTGTCTGTCATAATGCCGTCATAGTGGATAGGCCTGCCAGACCTTTGCGAAAGCTTGAGCGCCTCGTGCAAGTTGTCATTCCTGTAGTCCTAGCGCTTTGGAAGCTGATGGTGGTCAACAGGTGGCTTATGGCATCGCGCATGGGATCACCTGGCAACATGGTGGGAACGATTTTCTTGAGGTTTCACAGGACGATTTCAATTTGCGACCTTCAAGGGCATCAGCTTGAGCTTCCGCATGGATTTCGCGGTCTCCTGTTTTGGCCCGCCTGGAAGTTTGCAGCCGCTGAGATCTCAGCCTTGTGCGGATGATGGGTTCGCATTTGTTTGGTGCTGCTGCCCGTCGTTAATCGTTAAAGCATGATACAAACGCCCAGTGTCGGTACAATCGCAATATTGACCAGACGTGGGGAAGTGATATGGTGACATAAGCTCCTGAGTAGTTGTGGCGAATACTTGGGCAACAAGACTTCCGCATCCAGCTGCCTCAAGTCGTGAGTTCCCAGTTTGAAAACACAGAAGCAGAGTCATCGCTGCTAAATAGAGGCGCGGGGCCCCGCTCTACCCGCCCTCCCTGCGCAGCTTCTTCAGGATCCTCATCCTGCCCATATTCTTTGGCAGCTTCTTCGCTGCTCTGATGATTATGTTCATCCTCCAGGAGTGATGGAAGCTTTCTTGTCGCCTGGGGATTTGGTTGATGACATGGTGCAGAATTTGAGGTGGGATGGTGCTGTGACTGCGGCAGGAGCTTTGCTTTATGGCCTTGCTGACAGCCTTCAACGATTTGAACGAGGACAGCGGGCTTCGCTGTAGGCCGAGGTTCGTGCGAGTCAGACAATCACGGGGACGGACGCAGTCCTGTTCAGAAGTGCCGGTACGTCATTGAAAATTTCCTCGTCTCCGACCCGGTTTTCAGGAGATTGCTTTTAGCGGCCTCGAAGCCGTCGCCTTCTCCGAGAACTCGATCCATGTCTCCGTTCACGACCTCTATCGGTTTCAGGCCATTCCGACATTCAGAATGATCCTTGCCACTTTGCGCCTCTGTCTGACCCCTCGACGTGAATGGTGGCACAGAGTGAGTAGCGTAAGTATTGCTCAAGAGCCCTGAACCCTAGTCCTCTTGTTCCAATGCTTCCACATGTCCGAGCGCTGGGGACCTTGTATTCGAATCAACTACTGTGCTGTCGTCAGGTGAAGTATGCGAGCAGCTGGGCATTGCACCTGGGATGTCACTGGAAAACATCTCATCGTTAGTATTCGGACAATCGAAAAGCATTACATAACTCCGAATTGCAAAGCCGCAAGCTGCGCACGGGCCAGCCAAGGTTTAAGAAGATCCAGGATAAGATTGCCATGTCACCTGGTCTCCATGAGTTTTGGTATAGTGGGTGTTCAGGGTTGGAGGCTGTCCGGTCCTTCGGGGTTAGCCTATGTCGTGGCCCGGCCCTCCCGTGGAAGCTTGGGACGATGTGTTTTTTTGCAGGGCCTATGCACCCACAATGGCCTCGGGGTGACATTGCTCCCCGAAGTCCATCACCTAGAATGCTGCACAGCAGAGAAAAGCCTTCTGATCGCGGAACCCATCCCCAGCCCACTGTTCTAGTTCTCTTGCTTGATGAGACTGAGAAGAGGGATTGGAGTCCTTCGCACCTCTTGCAAGCTCAAGTCCCACGCCAGGCGTTCGAGTTGCAGTCTCTTGCAGTTGGGCCGAGGCCTCTGCAAATCTTCTGGGTAATCGAGGTCAGCATCATGGCCTGGCCGCCCGACACTGCACGTTTTCCGAGCTGCTCTTGGGAGTCATGGGTCGGCTTGGGCTGAGGAATTGTGCTGTGACTTTGGCCTTTTGAACGGAGTGAGATTGGGTGATTGGGACGTGGCTTCAGTGTCAGGTCAATCTGGAGCATGACCCAAGGGATCGCGGCGGACCCTGGCGATGAGCGTGTTCTGCGGCTCAAGTCCTACTGGAGCCCCGGAACTGCTTTCAGTCTTGGGCGGACAGCTCCATGCAGCCGAAACTTTGTGGTCATGCAGGCATGAGTCATGAGGCTTGCTCAAGACAGGTTTCATTCCCGGCTTCAAGCTTCTGGGCACATGTGCTGAAGACCTAGGAATCTCATCGTTCGGCTCTCCTGGTTTGTTGGCGGATCGCCTTGGTGCCGCGGTCTCATGAAGGGACATGGTTCAGGGTCTTCGTTGCTTCCCAAGCTCGAAGTGTCTTTGCTTACATGCGTTTGCCCTAGCGCGCAGCCCCCCGATGCCGGATGTTGCGGCCTCGACAGGTTTGGAGCAGGGAGTTGGATCACCGGAATTCTGCCGTGGGGAAGCAGCTGAGCTTCGGTTCAGTCGGAACCCTGAGAAGGTCTGCTGAGCAGGGAGGTCAAGCGATTTTAAGGTGAAGCTGTGGCTGGTCAGTGCGATCTCAAAGGCAGTCGGAATTGCAGGATAACGCACGCTTGTGAGCTGTTTCATGCAAAGACTACAAGCTTGTCTTCTGCCACATTTCTGCAAGTGCCTGAGGTAACTATTATGCTTGGAGGATGCTGGGCCCTTTTTGCTTTTCGGGTTCATGGTTTGGCAAGGCGCTTAGGGAATGCATGTTCATGTCCCGCCTCCTGCCGTGTCAATGTCAGAATTCCGGGCGTCAATGCTGCCTTTGGGCAAATACATGGGCCAGGGAGGAGAGCCAGGGTCATTCCGTAGACTTCTTGCATCTCTGATATGTTCGAGTCCCAGGATGGACAACCTCACCAAGCGCTTGCTGTTCAAGCAGCCGACGCTGAGGAACTCGATGCGTACATTTTTGCAGGACGCACAGGGATTGCATGGACTTAAACCAAGTCACTCGAATAGTGACGTAACACTTGCTAGGAAATGCTAGTAGTTGGGCAATGTGCTCATGCATCGTGGTTCGAGTCTGAGTTGACCCGAAAGTCAAACGCCGATGCATTGAGAGGAGGGGCTCGGAGGTTACACGCTTGCTATTCACCTGTGAAAAGCTGGATGCCGCGGGAGGAGTTTCCTTTGGAATTTCGTAGCGGCTTCCTCCAGACCACGCCGATTATGCTCCCACTCTTCTCCGTCATCCTTGCCACGAATACCGTGGGCTTCGTGTTCGACGCACTGCGACTTTTCAACGCCATCTGAGCGCCAATGGTTTCATTTAGCTACGTAGAGTCAGGCTTTTTTGCCTCAGCTGTTTCCGTGCCCCTGTGGGTTCACGGAGTTCGTTCCGCAAGAAGCCCCATGGATACCTTCAGCTGTGGCAGTTGACCTGATCAGTGTTGCCTATATATTCGTGTGGCTGTTGTGTAACTGCCCTACAACTTGAAGCAAACTAAAGCAGACTGTCCCCCCCGCATAGTTTAAAGTTTTTGCACTCAAAGGATTTATGTATCGGCCAGTTCCCCTCGAGCAGAGCTCGGGGCCAGCCGCCAGGCCGAGATTTTTGCAACCTCCCAGAAGGGCGATGCTGCAAAGTGCTGCGGCAAAGACGCACTGGCATTCCCCCCGTTTGTCAGATCCTCCCCCAGCCCTCTGATGTTGAAGCGAATTTGCTGCGCCGCTGGCCTGCCCGGAGCATTGCCTGGGCTCTGTGGCCATAAGCTGTGAGACGGCAAAGTCTCAAAGCTCAATTGCGGACGGCGCTCTCTTGACTTCAACCAGCTTGGCCGAAGCTCTGGAAGCAGGATGGTCCATCAAGGTAAGTGGTTTGGATTGAATTTGTATTTGACAGCGACGGTTCAGAATTCACAAGCACAGATCAGTCACGTGACTTCCACAGCTGTTTTATGGGGGTATTCGCAATCAAGTGCATTCCCACCTCGGTCTCCGTTTGGTTGGCCTCTCCACGCCTTTCTGCTGCCGCTGCCAGCTTCTTGTCGCTGCTGTCAGTGCACTTCCTGTCGCCGCTCTTCTTTATCGTGTCAGCTGCTACTTCTGATGTGTCCAGCTTCTCAAAAGGCGAGCTAGTGCGGGTGAGTCAAATGGTACAAGTATGGAGTGGCCTCAGTGTCGCCCTAGTAGTGTCTTGGACACTCCGGTCGGTTCAATCTTGCCTTAGGTGTTAGGGGCTGTTAGGGCAGCTTCGAATCCTGCCGACGGAACTCCGGCAACGTCAAGGCCTTGCACGGATCCTCGCACGTTCGAGGCAGCATCCAGAAACAAGACTGCTCACTCGCAGCACCAGGTTTGGATTGTCGAGGAATATGTAATGTAATGGTGACTTTGCATACAGAACTTTTCCGTAACCCTCGTGCTTGTGTCACCGAGTGAAAAACCGAAGTGAGATCAACCATGCATGCTTTTCGAGCAGGCTTGAGTGTTCCGTGCTCTTTTCCGAAGCACGCTTTGGTCACAGATGCAACCCCGAGTGTGCCCACCACCCCCCGAGCCCCCGAAGCATGGAGCCCAAATGCCTGCTGCGACCCGAGCACCTGGACAGGCATCGATCATGAATTGCGAGAGCGCTCGCGCGGCCAGCACTTGTGCAGTGCGACTCTCCTGCAAGGAGCTCCCATAGACTATGCAATTCTCTCGAGGCTCCCGGCTTCGTCGACAGGAGTCTGAAACCGTAGCGCCAAAGTCGAGAACGGGGGACTCAGCTATGAACTCCGGGAACATTGCGCTCCAACTGACCGCCTCAAATCAAAAGGCCCAGTCAAGCTTCAAAGCATTGTAGCAGCGGGCCAAGGAATGCCAACGTGGTGGAGCTCGAGTCTACATGGGAGGAGCGAACATGTTATGCCCAAGTCGATTCTGAAAGGTCCGAGGGTGTCTGGCTCGAATGGTAGTTGGCACAGAGTCAGTTTATCGAATCCAGCCCGCCGAAGACGAAACTAAGACAGAGAAATATCGACTGCACTGAAACTTCGCTAGTTGAAGACTAACTGCCGGCAGGAAGCGAGGACGAGCGAGACCTGGACGCTGGGCCTGTGATTCTGTGTTCTCAGCCTCACAGCTCAGACCCTACCAACGGTGTTGCTAAGCTGCAGCACGACCTCTTCTATCACAGGTTTCGCGTTCTCTCGTTTTCTCCATCCCTCCTCTTCCTGTCCCAATGCTTCGTCCAGGCCACAGCACTCGAACCGACCCAGAGAATCCATAAGAGGGGGAAGCGAGCGGACACGAACAGGCCCTGCCCCAACATCGAAATCTTGCTCGTTCTCAGGGGGCCTTTCCCTAGCTACCCCAATGTGGCACGACCCGGACCGAGGATTCTGCTGGAAGGTCTGCTTTGGCGGCGCCACGGCGCTGCATCAAAAAAGTCTCAGTGCAGGGTTGGTGCGATTTTGAAGAACCGAGGGCTGAAGACCTCGTCATGGACTCTTGGGCCTTGGGTATCTGGGAACACATCAAAGCTGCGTCGATCTCGGAGCACCTGCTTCCGCCAGGCTCTGGGGCGACAGCTCATTGAAATCCAGAAAGAATGGCGAAGGCGAGACACCGTGGGTTCTTCGTCTGGGGTTTCGCCGTGAGGTGTTTGTAGCCCTGAGCCCTCCAGGCGAAAACTTCCCTGGTTCCTGGCCCACCAAATGGCCTCCAAAAGACCGCCTTCAGTGCCAGGCTGGAAGAGAAGCGGAATCAGATCCCCAGCGAAGATGTTTGGGACTGAGGAAGCTGAGGATGCTGGGGCTTAAGTTTTGGAGTGTTCAGGATTGGACTAGCAACTTGACGCTGGGTTTCGGTTGTTGCCGTTTTCAAGCCAGCAAGCTTTCAATCCACCTCTGGAGCTAGAAAGCCGAAGTCCTTGATGTGTCAAGCCCGCATGCCTTTGCTGATGACGGGGCCTACGTTCAGCAGGGATCGGTCCCGAGGATCCATGGGGCCGCAGCTTCGACTCCCCCGAGTAGTTCGGCTCGAGCAACCTAAGTCGAAACCGAAGCGACGAAGCAGCAGCGTGCCAGAGCCTGGCGAGGTCATTCGGAGAACCAACCTTCTGCTGCGGCTGGGGCGTGCAAATTCGCATCCAGAGGGCCAGGCCACCTTCTGGATAGACAGTCCGATTTGGAGAGTCGTGATTGCTTCTGGTAGGGAGAGAGGATGGTAAGCCGACTGCTTGGAGCGTTTGCTTTGACCAGGGAACACCGGCGCTGAGCGGTGTGGGCTCGTCGGGCGCCTGGAGGTCTAGCTTCTTACTGCTTCTGCAGAACAAGAGATGACTCAAGCGAGCACGATGCTCTGGATGTTGAGGCCCTACCCTGCTCATCTCCTGGTGGTGCAGCCGGCCTGGTTTTGGGCACTTTGGGAGGTCTTTCCATGTATCGGGTTCTCTTTGAAAACCCTGGTTGCGGCTGCCACACATCTCCCGCGATGCCAGCCTGGATCCACTCCAACCCGAGCACCGACTCCTCTCGAACGCTCGAGCCTCAGTGGGCTTTTGGCCTGCGGATGACCTGCGACCCGACGGGTCACGCATTTGGAGCCTCCCTGCACCCAAACCCATAACCCCAAGCCTGGAAGGAGGGAAGCCTCAGCCCAGTTGAACCACTTCCCATACCCACCAATCAGACCGTTGCACAGTTCAGGTGCGAGTTCATACCCTGGCCAGCCTGCAGTGCCAGCATTGCCTGCCAGAGCCCTGAAGCAGGCATCGCACAACGCGTGGGTCTAGCAGACTCTGCGTTTCATAGTGCTGGGGTTCTGATTTTGTGGGATGCAGACCAGTGGTATCTCCCGATGCCTAGAATCATCGATATATCTTATTCCAAAGCTTTCCAACACCATTGACTCTGCTCTTGGTAGATGAAGTCTTGCTCTTAGCATCACGACCCTTCAGAAGCAGCTCGAGAGCAGGTATTTATTGGGTCTTTCTTTACGTCTGGTTCCTTGTGGGAAGCTGTCATCATTCTGCACCTCCCTGCACTAAATGGTCTTGGCACGTGCAAGCTGGTGAAGGTGCAGCTGAGCTTGCCTCGGCCCAAGCCGTTGATAGTGAGCAGGTTTGGGGTCTTGCGAGGCTGGGATCTTTGGACTTCGGTCGTTGACCAGGCAACAGACATCAAGAAGCACCGGGTGTCAAAACGCAAGTTTCAGTCTGTAGGCAAAGCAAGCCTTGAGCTTCGTGATTAATGGGCATCTCCGAAGATCGAGACCAGCTTTGCGAGTATTAGGATGCCAGTCTCGCGGTACGGCTCATCATGGCAGGAGCATGATGCAGACCCCATAAGGGCTGCCACTTCCGAGAACCATGTGTTGCAAAAGGGTCATCCTTGGGTCACAGGTGACATGTGAGACCAGCCGCCTCCCGCCTGGCTTCTGGCTCAAGGGTGCACATCTGCGTCTCCGAGAAGGCAGTTTGCATGGGTCAGTGGCTCGCTCGAATGTGCTCTCTCATCACACTTCTCTCCTGTTTTTTGTTCCCTGCACATGCGGATATGTAATGATTTCAGTGATTGATTGCTCGGGGCTGCTTGGTACGTAGTGATCAGCACGAGCACGGAGAGAGAGACCCAGTTCGGCAGACTAGGGCGATTCAGGGCCTCAGGCTGACGCAGTCAGCAAGAGAAGCAACACCCCTGGCGACAGAAGCAGCACCATCGAAACACAGAAGAACAGGAAGCTGCACCTTGCGAGCAGCCCCGCAGCGATAGCAATAGGTGTGACGAGGGTTCAGAAGGGGTGGCCGCGACTTGCCTGTGACGAGTCGAAAGCGATGCACTTCAAACACACAGGCCTCCACAGCCCCCAGAAGCCCAAGCCCGGGGCCCCTCAGGTGCCTTTCGCCGTCCACTAGCCCATCCCTCGAAATGGCAGAGGCAGGGAATTCTGAGCCACGGCTGCTGTCAGCCGGCACCAAACCGGCCCGAGCCCCAAGCTTCTCGCGACTGGGACCCAGTGCCAGGAGAAGCCTTCGCTGCCGGCTGACTACGTGGTGCCCAAGGTGCTGGGTTTCGGAGAAGATCCGACTGGCAGTTCCGAAAGTGCCACACAAAGCTTCCAGCCAAAAGATGATGATTGGCTAGACATCGTAGGCCCAGGCCTGCACTGAGCTGCTGAGCTGCTCTGCCTCTGCCTGAGGTGTGGGAGTACAAGGAGCAGGGCGGACAGTTCGGCGGCACGAACCGGCCCTATGCAGGCGCTTGGGGCGAGGCCCAGCGCTCCGGAGGGCGAGGGCCGAGGGCTTCCGGGCTGGGTTGGAGGCGCCGGGCCTGCGGGGAGTTGAGGAGCTGAAGGGAACACCTGACTACTTGGTTCTGCCTGAGTTGAATTGGAGCATTGAGCTCCGACTTATGGAGGACATGAAGCTTCGGGTTGGTGCTTTGCTGTTGTCTCTGCCAGGAGAAGCCTCTCCCCAAGGGAGAGCACAAGATCCAGCTCTACTCCATGGGAACGCCGAGCCTGGACACTGTTTGGGTGGTTCTTGGGTTCTGGCTTCGAGGTTCGGGAGAGGGCGTCGCGAACTGCTGTAGGCCCGAGATGCTCAGGAGTATCGGAAGAAGTCGATCTTGAACCCCATAAGGCACACAAGTTGCAGAGCTGAGGAATGGAGTGAAAGTCACTATCCTGCTGGAGGAGTTGGTTGAACTCTTTCCGGATTTCGAGTACGATGCACCACGGCCGTGACAAACCCGAGATCAGAGGGCCCCACAGGGTTTTCGCAACCGGAGCATAAAGGGTCCGTTTCAGGGCTGCCTCCTTATTCTGCTCTGAGGCATGGCTGATTCCCATTAACGGCGTGCAGTTCACATCTGGCTTCCATGCAATCAACCCCAACTCCAAGCCGCTTGGCAAGTGAAGCTCGCCCACCTCTTACATGAGTCCAACAGCTGGAGGACCACAGTCATTATCAACGCAGTCAGAAGTCAGAGCGAATCAGGGCTCCCTCACCAGAGGTTTTGCGGTGGCATTGCTGTTGCTAGCAAGCTGTCCCTGCGGTCCCTACACCGCAAACCCAACCCCACACCAACGATGGCTTCGCTGCTGCAGGATCCCTGCGATGGTGGACCACTCAACAGACAAACCGGTCCGTGTGTTTGAGTCTGGCTCCATCCTCATGCACCCGGTCTATGTGGAATTGGGTTTCACCCGGCTTCAGGGAGTTGGAGGTGCAGCGAGGTGCAGACTTGCACAAAGGATCATGGTGTAATGATGAGGGTTTACGATTTGCTTTTCCTCGGCTTTGGTGTTTGAGTCGAAGGCTGGAGTCCTGAGTAGCTGGCTGCTGAATTTCATCATGGAGCTCGGGCTGCAATGCTTCGACACGGCATCCCGGACTACGCTAAGGTATCTTTGCGACAAGTTTGACAAGGATGGTGTCTTCTTGCCGAAGGAGCGATCGTGTTTCCTGAGTGCTGCTTCTCTTTTAGCCTACTCCGCCCGGGCTCGAAAAGCCGACTGTTGAGAAAGCGCCTGATGGCAGCAAGGATTCTCGATTTTTGTCATTTGACTGTTTTGAGCCCTTCCGAGCTGTCGAGACGTGTTTGCGAGGAGTATCCCGCCAGGGCCGAGGTGCAGAATTGGCTTATGTGGCCGCCTGTCTACACGCTGCCAGCTGCTGGCCTACGTCCTGTCCCAAGCCCTTGGCCCAGAGCCTGAGCCCGCCTCAGGCAGATGGGCTCCGCACCGTTCATCGGAGGAGGCACGGGCCCTTCGCCTCTTCCTCAGAAGCCGAGCCACACGCACGAAGGCTTTGGGCACTTCTACAACTACGCTCCTGTGAAGCTCCTTGGCTTTGAGGGTTGATGTGGCCGTATAGGTCAGCATTTGCGCGCGATCCGGAGGGATGTTCCGATATGCAAGACTGGCAAGACGATGCTGTGGTGCAGTTCTGCAAGCGAGGATGATGGACGTGAGTAATGCCTGATAATGAGGGCTCGGATGATTGGATGTCAATTCAGCAGGGTCTCGTCTTGCTGTGCAAACTTTCCAACCCGCCAAGCGAATTTGGAGGATCCAGTACGCCATCGACCGCTACAGCATGGAGACGAAGAGGCTTCTTGATGTCCTCGACAAGCACCTGGGGGACGGCAACAAGAAGCGGCTCAGACGGCAGGAAGAAGTGTGCCTTTGAGCAGGGGCCCCAAGCTCCTGCAAGTTAAGAAACCCCGAGCCCGGCCTTGACGTCCCTAGTGTCAGAAACCAGTCCGCACCTTTCGGAATGCCTCCTTTAGCCTTGAGAGACCATCTTCATGCCTCCATTGCTTGTTTGAAGGTTTTTATGCTTTGAGGCTGTGGGGTCTGAGTATTGTAGCTAAGCAGCTTCCGATCGTCTAAGAGCCCAAAGCAGGCTTGGATGGGACTCGAAGCCGGGCATGGCACTCTGTCAGAGCAACCCTTCGCCGTCAACTTCACATGCTCGCAGCTGCTCGCATGCCCTTTAAGGTTCATTTGCGGAGATCAGCGCCTCGTCCACATACTTGGGAAGTCCTGTGCATGTTTTTGGAATCCGCCACCCTGATGCCGAGATTTCCCCCAGCTTTTGGCTTGTTGGCAGAACCCGGTCTAGTCGGGGAGACGTTAGGTTATCGAGATGCGAGTTGCTTGGAGGATTCGGAGAGGTCTCAGAGGTCCTGATTTTCGCATGGAGTGGGTGGTCTTCGTGGATTGTTTCGATAACATCAGGCAAGTGCTTGCTTCGTTGACACACGCATATCATCACGGTCGAAGGTACCGCTGCGAAACTGCAGGGTGCGGTTGATGGCAATCTATGCCAGGGTAAGTGCAGGGGCACCGGACATGATGTCGGCGCTGTAAGGCCCGAGACAAGCACTCATGCTTCAATAAGTTGTTTCGTGTCGTGATTCTCAAAAAAGATGGAACATAGCAGCTTGGACAGCTGTCCGAACCACTGAAAGCTTGCCATGGCAAGGTACACCATTGCTGACATGGCAGTTTGGCCGTGGCTTTTCGGTTGAACCGGAAGACTTTATTGGTGGCTGCATGGAGTGATCAGCGCTTTTTGCAAAGCTAGATAGATGGACCGTCGAAGAGTTGGAGCATTCAGACGGATGCGATGCTGACACGGAGTCGATGCGGTTGTTGATGCCTAGACTCATAGACGGTGGACCCCCGATTGCTGTTGTGTGAGATTCTTGTAGATGAAAACTCAACTTTTCGTGGCTTTGGTTTTCGGGAAGCTATCGTTGCATACTGTATTGGCCACAAAAGGTTTGGCAAATCGGGGTTGTGGGTTGGAGGCTTGGGGAGTGCTGTGTCGACCCGACATCCTCAAGCAGCTAACAGTTTGACCAAGGGTGGGCTGGTTGATGCTCGGAAAGATCTACGGTGCAGCCGCAGACTTCTTGCAAGTGCAGGAAACCCTGCTGTTCTCCGGGCAATTACACCTTTGGTGAGGGCCGCCCCCAAGCCTGCTTTCTTCAAAATCCTACAAAGCCGGAGAGATTGGAGTTGTGTGCAATTGGGCCCACCGGCGCCGTGGGGCTAAATAGGAGGCTCAGGGTCTGAAGCCTTCAGTCGCTTGATCGTCTTCCGAACTGATATCTTGGATGCTGAATAGGACTTCGTAAGCTTGTAGCCTTCAGGTAGTTGCCCTGCACGTACCAAACATCCAAGTCATCATGCACCGCCCCCAAGGGGGGCGGATTGAAATGGTTCACTATAAACATATCCTCGAGGAGTACAAGAACCTCATGGAGTGGGCCAAGCGCGTTGCAGAGCGACCTGCAGTGTGACTGAGCTGAGTCGATGATATTTAGAGGTGAGCACAAGGGCTTGCATTGCTCGGCTGGGCGCAAGCAGTTCGTTCGAAAGGTCCAGACTGCATGAGATGATCAAAGATGTTCCTGCCAACATACGACAAAAAACTCTTGAAACAGGGCAGCTCGGGACGTCTACTTTGTACCACCGAAGACGGGGTCAGGCGACCTCAATGCAGCTCTTTACAAGTATACACTCATGCCTCTGCTTCGAGTTGCATTGTCACCATACGTACAAGACGGACAGATTTGTTGCCCGGCATGATAGGCCGATGCAAGAATCATCACATGCCGCGGTGACATGCGCACCAACCTTATTACCCCAAACTCCCAGGCCGGCTAGCCTGACCAGATAGCCATAGCCGAGGAAGCGTGGAAACATGGTGAATCGCCCGTTCGGAGCGGCTTGACTGTACCCGAGAAATTTGGAATTTGCGGCTCCGCCGTCGGTTGTAGGCGATTGCGTAAGTTACTGTTTCTGGCCGCAGATATTAAGGTTCTTAACGAGGCGCATTCAGACGTGCTGAAAATCGAGCCGAGAGTTTCTAGTCGAAGCTTCAAACAAGTTGGGACAGTAGCAGGTGATGCTTGAAAGGGCCGACGAAGTCGAGTTTGAAATCGGCACAGCCTTGCAGACTTCTTTTGGTCACTTTTTTGCAGCAACTGCTCGGCCTTTCCGCAGCACCCCGGCAGCTCACAAGTTCCCACAGTAACTTCACACTTTCAGCGGCATGCCGCTCACCTGCGAGGATTCCCCAAGCCTCACCGAGCACCAACTTCAGGAAAAATCCGAGCAACTGCACGAGCGACATGCGCGCAGTGACTTCGAGACCAAGACGCAGGATGGCGGGGTTCAAGATCCGGAGAGCCGTGTTTCCTTTACAGATTGAAACCTGTGGGTACGAGCTGGTTGTTGCGACTCGCCTAGGGCCTAGGTAGTATCAAATACGGAACTGCGGCACAACGAGATCTCGCTGGCTTGTGCTGACCATCTGCAACTTCAATCTGCAACTGTGCTTTTTGTGAGCAAGTCCCGGCCATCGGAAGAGTAAGCACAAATCTGTGAAATGAAGCCCGTGCTGACTCAAGCCCGAAAACTTCTGGGCACCAAGCCACCCACAAGCTCAGCTGCCCTTCGACTCGTCACACATCTTGAATCTGGAGTTGCATGCTAGACAGGTCTGGATTCTGTTCCTTGCTACACCATACTATTATGCATGTCTGTTTCCTCAGCCCAAGCTCGAAATCCGCAACCCACCTGGAGCCTCAAGCAGAAGTCCTCCCAGCCTCCACAGATCTTTCTAGGAGGAGCTTCAACAAAGCACGTTTCCATTTCTTCGGAGCACGTTGCATGGTAAGTAGTCCAACAAGTCTGTTTGGAGGACAAGCTGGAAGCTGCCTCTAGCTGAGCTGTCAGTAGCTGCCCTTCAGCAGCGACGGGACTGCTTTTCATTACAGGAAGCGGGTGTTGTTCTCAAGTTTGTCATACCTAGGGGGTTGTTGAGTTGGTGCGCATGCAAGTGTTGGGATAGCGCGGCTGCCACTGAAGGGGGCAGCTTGAGTGCTATTCCTTCACTCATCAATCCTTGCTTTGGCACAGATTTTCGGTTTTGTCCGTGCTGGACGCTTGTCAAACATGGCCGGTCCCAGGCAACAGCAGGGGGGGCCGAAACAGCCCCAACCCTTGTGCCGTTAGGGGCTGACATGCGACGGGTGCGAAAGGGAAGGCGCAGTGAGTCGCTTTGATTCGCCTGGAGATTTCACGGGGACGAGAGCGGCTAGGCCGTCCGGGTTCAGAGAGCGTGGCTGCGATGACGATCAGGCCGCTGCCGACGAAGTGAGTTGGCACGGGGCCGCTGCCCGAGGCTCTCCAGGTTTTCAGCATTGTGAGGATAGACCTAAATGGGAGGCCAAAGTGCCTCCCGGTAGTGACACCGCCGGAGGCCAAAGAAGTCTTTGGCTGCGGTCATGCTAATGAACCTTGCCGATCAAAGGATGCACTCAAAGCGGTCCCCGATCTCAACTTCAAAGTCTGGTGTCATGGCGTCATCGAAGCTGTAAGCCACTGTAAGCCTGCTTCTCAGAACTAAGGCTCGAGTGACTAAGCCGGATTCACAGGTAGCCTGGCCGTAGGCTTCTGGGGCATGCTTAGCTCTCGCAAGACTGCTTTCGGGGTCACCGTTAATTACACATTCAGGCTCCCAGAAACCAGACAGATGCCATCCGTCCTGTAGACGTAGCAGCAAGCCCAAAGAGGGAACGTTTTTACTATCTCACGTCTGGAGCGGGCGCTGTCGGCACGCGATTTCGAGAGCGCCGCGTGCGGCGCTCTGCCGCTCTGCCAAGGCCAAGTGCTGCTTTGCTGTTGGGGTCTGGGAACTCAACGCCGAGAGTGTTTCGGAAGGCTTCCAGGACTTGGAACTGATTGGGACCGGTGCTAGAATCCTAGAAATCGTTGTTGCAGGCTGCAGGACCATGGCTGGCAACTCGGCGGCAATCTGCGTGAGAGAAGCTACAGCGCCAACACGAAGACTTGGACAGCTGTCCTCGGCCGAAGGGGAATCGGAAGAAAGCATTCGAGATAAAGCAGTAATGCTCGAAAGCGAGCGATGGAGAGCAAGGAGCAAACCCTTCGAAAAGGATGAGAGCACTTGAGTGTCGACCAAGCATTCGCAACGGGAGTAGAAAAGGAGCAAACCGCTCGCAACGCCTCTTGAAAAGGCTACACCCGTTTGAAAGAGACTAGTGCGAATAAGCGAATGGAGCAAACTGCACAAAAAGGGCTGCAACATTGAAGAGAAGGGGCAAATCGTTCGAACGTGATTGAGCATGTGGGAGATACCAGGAGCAAACCGCTCGGAAGGAACTGCGGCTTTTCAAACAAACGAGCAAACCACTCGAAAGGGACTATAGGGCCATTGAGAAACGAGCAAACCCCTCGAAAGGGAGTAGGGCATGTGAGTCGACAGGGATTGAATCACTTCGAGCTAAAGCAGGAAACCGTTCGAAGGGGATTTGAGCCGAAAGACCTTGGAAAGGGATTAGAGCACTTGAGAGGGAGGCGCAAGCCTTCGGAGCGTTCGGGAAAGAAAGGAAACCGTTTGAGAATCAGGAACAGTCCACTCGAAGATGCTTAACACTTAACAGTTAGAAGGGCCCAAAACAACTGAGGAACAAGAATAAACTGTTTGAGCATGTTGAGAAATGGGGCACACTGCGGGAAGCGCGCTGGAGTGTTAGAGAAAGCTAGTCAGCAGCTCAGAATTGGAGGAGGAAACCATTTGAAAGGGACTCGCGAATCTGAAAAACACGAGCAAACCGAAAACAGAAACACAGCAACAACACTCGAAAATTACTAAAACATTGGAGAAGGGCATTTGAGCAACACGGGCAAACCGCTTTAAAGCGACTGGGCATTGGAGAGAAAAGTGCGCCACGCCCGAAAGAGACTAGCGCACTGGAAGAACACCCGAAAGCAACTAGATCGTTTCAGAAAATGAGCGAGAGCGTTTGAGGAGATGGAGCAAAACATTCAATAGTCGCTAGAGTGTTTGAGAGGAGCAAGCAAACCCATAGAAAACAACTAGAGTGCCTGAAAAAGGAGAGCCAACTGCCCGCTCCGCGCGTCCGTGAAAGCCAAATGAGCCCGAAAGGAAAGTCGTTGGCCGAGCGCCGCGCCGGTGCCTTCCAGACTCTGCAGGTGGCAAAGGACAGGACCTCAGAGCTTTGCGGCTGGTAGCCGTGATTTTATGAGGACAATGATTCACGGATTGCAGTTCGGAAGGTTTGGGAGTTCGACATCGCAAGCCGAGGGATGCCATGTCTTTGAGGATCAAGTCGTTTGTGGATCGTGTGCCATGCAACCTCAGGCAGGGCCTGTTGATGTCGCGGGCACGCGGACGATAAGGCACGGCCAAGAATATGGTCAAGACAGGGTGTCCCCTTGAACTCAAACCTGAGTGCCTGCCTTCTTTCAGCAAGCCACGCATTCCCTCAACAGCTGGCCCGTGGCGTCTTCAGGATTCTGCCACCTGGCCGGACGATAAAGGAGCACCGCAGAGAAGACGTGTCAAGTGCAGCAAGTAAATGCAGAAGATTTCTTTCATTAGTTCAGCGTGGTTAGGCAGTCGCGGTCCACGCAGGGGTCCCCTGAAAATGCCGACACGCAAAATCCTAGAGCTCACTCACAGCTTGACGCTGGAAGCGGTTCCGCAGGATGAGTACGACTTTCTTCAGTGTCTGCACGAAGCAGGAGGTGGCGGGCTCCCCAGTTCTCGGGTGGCATCGAACGTGTGGAGCAAGCCCCCGCATGAAGCTGAGGCCAGACTCAGGTGTGGAAGGCAAGTTGCAAATCCTCCGGTGAGGACCTGCCGACTGGTCCGCAGAAATTTTTGGGGGCTTCAGTCTGTTTCTGCGGAGGCCAGACGGGACTTCAGAACTGTCGAGTTTTTCGGACGACAGGCTCGCAGGGTTTTCAGTCGATCAAAGTCACGGAGGTCACATCTCTCGAATCTCGCACGGCTCCATCGGTCCTGAGAGGAAGCTGTATCGGAAGTGTACAACAGTAAGGATCTAAAGTCTAAAGAGCTTAGTTCAGACCGTAGTCCTCCTGGAAGGGCCTTTCCCAGAAGTGGAAACTTGAAACGCGAGTCCAAGGCCATGAAGATGAAACTCGTGCAATCATTGCAGCACAGGCAATTCCTCAATCCTCTTGCAGAAACCCCTGCGTCGTGTTCTGCTTGCAGGCACGAGGTTCGAGGATTCACCACTGCTCTATGCAAGATATGCCAGCAGCAAATACTAAGGATCGTCAAGGTGCGCTCCAGGCCAGTCGAGGGTCCTGCCACCACGATAGATTTGTCGAATTTTCGTGGAGGGTGATCTGGCTCCTGTCCTGATATTGAGGCAGCTACGACGTGTCTTGTGGTCGAAGCTAGCCAGGAAGATGTTATGCTAGAACCGCTGCACACCACACTCCCAAAGGCCGCTATTCTATTCCAAAGCACAAGAGGAACCCTGCCCGAAACTCAAATGCCGCAACCGCTTGAGGAATTCTTCTTTGGTGTCTCCTCAGATTAAAACATGGTTATTGTGATGCTGACTGCTTTTTTTGATGGTCTCATTGTCGTGGTATCGTGATAAATCGCTGTGTGGCCCGCAGGCGGTTCGCCCCGAATGGGGAGTTGGCCGAAGCCTCGAACCCTTTCAGGTGTGAATTTGCGTTTTTTCGAGAAGGGGTGTTCAGAGGGAGTTTTGCTATTGTCAAAGGTCTCTTCTTTCAGGTGCTTTTGGGGAGAGGTCGACAGGAGCAGGGGCGCTGGGGCTGGGGGGCTTCTGCTCGCCTCTATCTGCTGGAGCTTGGGCTTCAAGGATGCCTCCAATCATACGGCTGTGGAGAGTTGGCCGACATCTCTTCTTGTGACTCTCGTGTTCTGGCTGTTGACATGGAAAAGCAAGGCCCTGACATGGGACTCGTGAGGCACAGGCACCCCAGAGCTTCACGTACAATGGCGTCTGTTGCATGTGATCCATGTAATCGCTGAAGAACAGCATTCATGAGCTGCAATTGGTATCCAGCGTCCTCCCAAACTCTGCTTATACTTCTCTTAAATCTCAGTGGCGAAGGAATCCATGTCGCTGTGAAGCCAGATGACGCTCAACGGAAACCATAATCCTTGCATCCGAGAAGCCACGTCGCTGAACAAGCTGGACCACTGAACCTGAGCACGCGACGAGGTCTGGCAGTCACTCCTGACGCGGATGCTACTCTGATGCAGTGTGCAGATGGCTACTGTTCTAGGTCTGAGGTCCATGCTAGGTTCTGGCCGTTCTTTGCGTCGTGACAGCAGTGACAGATCATTGCCGGGCAGCAGCTGCTGGAAAGTGTCCTCCTGCAGGTGCCCGCTTGTCTTAGCTCCGACGGGCTTATGGGAACCAAAACCTACATTTACACAGTTTTTGACGTATCATGTAGAGGGATAAAGAGATGGATCGGCAGGTAGATACGACATATAGGTTAGATGCATAGATAGGCAGGTAGATTGTAGAGAGGCGGACAGGCCGCTAGGTATCTAGGGAGGTACTGTAGGTAGATAGGTTGGGCATGGTTGATCGGTAGAAAGATGAGACACATACATGGTACATGCATCGATAGGTGCTAGATGGTAGATAACCAGATAGATACACAGGTCGGCAAATAGATAGCTAGATATGGATAGACAGGTAGATAAGTAGCTAAGTAGCTACGCGGATAGGCACAGAGAGCGATTAACAGCCAGATAGCTAGCCAGCTAGCTGGCTGGCTGGCTGGATGGATGGATGGATCGATGGATAGGTGGATAGATAGGTAGATGGATAGATGGATAAGTGCATAGTTCAATAAATAGATAAGCAAATCAGTAGGTCAGCCAGACTGACATATATATATATATATATATATATGTGCGCCAGCAACCTGCTAGTGCTAATGTAGTTTGTTTTACCACAATTTGCAATGGTCGAAGTCCTAGCGACATGTCGTTGATGTAAAGATGAGTTGAAAAGGAAGCAGTTATTACTGAATAATACCTGAACCAGTGCCGCACACCAACCTGCTCGCCGAAAGCTCCAAGTCCCGTCCAAGGCTGAACCTCGAGGGCCATCAGAACGTCCTAGGCCTGCGTGATGCCAGCTTCCCGAGTTTCTGGGATTTCTGCAGGAGTTGCAGGCAGATGTCAGGGAGGTTAGCGCCAAGCCCAGGTCATCCAGGATGAGGGCAGCTACTACATCGTCATGGTGCTCGGCGAAGGGCTTGTCCGAGTCTACATAAATGCTACCGCCAAACACTCCTTCAATTTCTCAAGCCTTCGGGTTTTGATGCAGAACGAACACGAGCTCAATCGCCGCTCCCATCGAAAGCATAATGAACTTCAATCTCTTGTCTGGAGGCTTAAGTGCAAAAGTCCAAGACCTGTTTGACAGCTGCTCTGAAAATGCGAAGAGGTACGCTGCAGTGGGGGTGAGCTCTTCGATTTCCTGCAAACTGAGACTGCGTGGGCCTTGATGGTTAACTCTTGAGCATTTGAAGGGCTCACTGTTGAGACAAACATATGTAGATAGAATTGCATGTAGAAGATTTTCCACAGTTGACGTAGCAAAGTTCGCACTGGTACGGCGAGTAGGAGGATTAAGTATTGAGAGTGGAACTTCTTAGGATTTTTTTTTCATCCCCTGGCGACCCCCTCAGAGTGGCTGGCGGCTTCCTGCCCTAAGGCATTGGCCCTAATCATCAATCCCCGCTCCCTTCGAAAGTCTGTTATTGATTTGCTTGCACTACATTGTATATATGTATATGGATATGTGATCATACATTTCAGTGTACATGTTCAGCCGTTGTTCGTTTGGAAAAAGCTCCAAAACCGACAACCTCAGCGACAAACAGCATCGCAAAACCTTCTGTGTGGAAGAACAGGGGCCCCACAGCGTACCTTTCTGTAAGTATTGGGGATGTTCAGTCGCAAAAGCTTTGGGTCTAAACTGGAGCAAACAGCCTGGCCCCTATGAGTGTTGATCGCAATGTCTTACTGAAAAGGTTCGACTTCTTTCCCGGCTGCACGCCTTTCTGGAAAGTTTGCTGGTGCGCATGACGTCATTATTCTCCCCACATAGTTCATACACTCCGCCACCAGCGCAGTTCGATGCCCCTAACTGTCTGGACGGCGGCTTCAGGATGTGCCAGAGCGCGAGTGCAAGCGCATCATGCGCGAGATTCTCGAAGCTGTTGACCACATCCACGCCAGGCCGCAACAGTGTGCCATCACGGTGTCCGCGAGGGTCTAAAGTGCATCCGGAAGAGTGAAGCTTTTTCCAATCCTAGATCGGAGCCGTGCATCAGGGGTCTCATCCACCGGGACATCAAGAGTCTCAGCTGGAAGGGCATGTCGTTTGTTGCAAAGAAATACAGTGCGGGTTGCTTTCTTCAGGGATCCTTCTTGGACTCTACTCCGCACGTTCTTTTCGCAGAGCCGCTAGGTTGCCAGGCACCTCTCCTTCAAAGCCCAAGCTCTAAACTAAGTTTGAAGTTCATTCAATGGCCTTCCACTCTTACCAAGGCCAGAGAACATCATGTTCCATGATACCTCCAACGAGCCAGCCTCACCAAAGACGCCGGCGAGCAAGAAGCCGGGGAGCCGAACGGAGGGGTTCTTGTGACATTTTGGGGCAGCTGCTTTTACTTCCCCTTGCTTGGGCAGGATTGTTGTTGCCTTTTCCTGTTTCGTAGTGTTTCCTGTTCTTTGAGGGTCCAGCGATCAGACGTACGAAGGCTTAGCAGATATGTCGGGAAGGTGCTGCAGGTCCAATGTTTCTTTTGATTCTGAGAAGCACAACCTGCCGGCATTGGGCTTTGGCGGAGATGAAACTCGAGAGGTCCAGAGCACCGTCAATGCTAACGGCTAACGAGAACTTATCACTCAGCTCGTCTGGCCATTGCTGGCAGGGCCGTGAAGTTGATCGACTTCGACACATGCCAGGAGTCACTGGGCCCAGCTATGGCTACGGCTGCGGTCAATTTGAGGGGGTCGACAGGTGGAGGTGACAAGACTCTGTACGAGCTTGCCATGGGGACCTGGTATAGGCGAGACAGGACTTGCAGCCCGCAGAAAGCTGCACCCTCAGGTACGAGCCGAAATCCCCACGTGCGAGGCACATTGTGGGCACTCTCGGTGTCTTGACCGCACAAGCTTGACGCGTGCCCTACCGCACTTCAGTGGCCGTCTGCCCGGAGACCAGGATACTTGGCTCCGGAAGCCTTGCAGGGCGACTACTCCCCGGCGCCAGGATTCCCAGCAGGAGATGCGTTAGCTTGTAGCGCCTTTAGCTTCGGGGAGGATCTGAAATCAATTACTAGAGTATCCTGCGATGCTGGAACGAGCTGCGATTCCATGTGTAGGATTCGTTTGTTGAGTCTGCACCTCGGGGTCAAGCTGTCAAATCTGAGCTCGCTCTGCGGTGTAGCGTAGGGTGCGTGTGACCCTTTTTGCATGCGCAATCGAACAACGCCGCATGTGTTCATGCATGCATGAATGCATGAACGCATGCATGCAGATGTACATTCATTCATGTACGCGTGCATGTATGTGCCTCTGTACCGAGGTATCTATGTGCCTATGCATCTCTGAATCCATTACGTAGGTAAGTAGCTTAAGTAGGTAGACAGGCATGTATGAGAGTTTGGATATTGCCAAGCATATCAAAATACTCCCTGCCGTCCTCATGCATCGTGCTTCAAGGTCCGACCTTTGGAGTGTGGGCGTGATCTTGCAAACCGACCTGGTTTGCTCTTGGCGGTAGGGAGGGAGCATCGGAGGAAAGTGCATCAGCAGTAGCATCCATATTCACAGCAGTAGGAGTGGTGCTAAGTCTTGCTTCCATGTCAAATTGCGGATACTTGAAGACTCATGACTTATGACTAATGCATCTCTGCATGTACCGTTTGAGACAACACGTGCAGCTCAAGATTCCGAAGCGTCGGACAAGCTGGGAGTTTGTTGCTTCATTCCAAATCGCACAATGCGTGTATGCAACTGTGCATGTATACACACATGCGTGGATGCGCGACAGCATGAACGCATGTATGAATGTATGCATGGGCGTATGAATGTATGCATGGGTGTATGGATGGATGGATCGATGGATGGATGGTTGGTTAGTTGGATGGATGTACGTACGCAGGTTCGCATACATGTATTGCATGCATATGCGTGTCATGTCTGCATGTTTGTACTTATATATGTACATATGTATGTATGTAGGTAGGTTGGTAGTCAGGTACGTCGGCAAGTAGGTCGGCAGGTAGGTCGGTAGGTAGGTAGGCATACATATGCAGATGAATTCATATGTATATATGTATGTATGTGTGGATGTATATGCAGGTAGTTAGCAGGTAGGTATGTATGTATCTATGTCTATCCCCATGTCCTCAGACCGACTCAGACCTGTCCACATTGTGCTGTATTGTAGTTGCATTGCTCTGCATTCCGTTGATGGGATGGGATGGAATGGGATGGAATGGGATGGATGGACATGTGTGTGTGTGTGTGTGGGTGGGGTGTGAGATTCCTGAACCCCTTATCCTTTTGGCCAGGTATATCCTGATGACTGGAGATATGCCCTTTGAACAGGACCCGCGCGGCTGGATCATAGATTTACTCCGCGTCAGGTTGCCGGCTTCGCAGAGGCTTCCGTCTGCTTGTCACAGTTTTGTCCTCAATGTGACTGTCAGCCGTGGCGCGGGCCCACATCTTAAGGTCTGTACTACAACATCCAAGGGCCCCTCTGAAAGGCAGGTAATTCTGAGTCAGAGAACTACGAAAGCATTCGACAAGAAGACGTTTGGATTTGCGCTAGGAGCTGTCTCACTTTTATTCCTTCGCCACATGCGGGACCATGTTGTTCTGGACAGAAATGGGAGTTTAGACGGTAGGTCCTTGCTCTCTTACAAAATCTTACAAAAGGCAAAGCTAGCCTTCAAACCCGAAAGCCCGCGGCTTTTGCAGGAAATCTTTGCAGATCGGGTCTCGGACACCCGCCGCGTCCTGGGCCGACTGTGATAAGGGTGACCTCAAGGATCAGAGTTCCCGGAGTCTGGCAGTTGCACAAAGGAAGCTAACTCACAATCGCGGTGTCATACCGGAAGGGTTTTTGTTTATGTCGTGGGCCTCGTTCGAGTCGAGATTTTGGTGAGGCTATGATGTAGAAGTGGGTCTTCATGAAAAAGAGGGGTGTGGGTGTTTGGAGTTTGGGGCATGAGGAGATGACAAGCAGCAAGACATGCTCGAGCAAGGGCAGTTCCGGCACGCGCATGAGGAAGCCTCAAGACTCGAAGCTGAAGAGTCTGGCGCTCGACGTTGAGGATCGAGGCTTTGGAGTCTCAGACCGACGTCAGGCTGTGGTAGTGAGAGCATGAACTCGCTGTACCACAAGCTCAAGAATGCCGCGAGCCCGGACTTGAGCGGCGCGAGCACCAGCGACCTGTGCAGAGGGGCGAAGCTTGTTGCTGTGGCGCCACTCCGATCGTTCTGGAAGGACGTCGGGCTTCGACTTTGGCTCAAGGACTTCGAGACATCGCATGCATTCACACACGGCAGACATCCAGGCAGAGTTTCCTTCAAGCAGGCAATCTGAAAGCAACCACGTGCCCGGGTTTTGCTATCCATCCCGACCTGTCTGCATCTCCAAGCTTCGAACTCTTGGACTTGCACCGGCAGCCTTTGCACGTGGAGCATAGCCTAGAAATGAAAGCAGGGCATTGAAGAAACCACGGAGCATCGCTCTCGCTTCGGCTGCAATGGATCGGGAGCTCGAGTGGATTCGGAGCGATGAGGCCTGACCAGTCAACAGTCATCCTTAGGGCTTCCAATCGGGCAACCTTTGGCTACCCGGCCACTTGTAGCTCGGCGCAAGGCATCTACCAAGAGAACTGAGCAGAAGACCAGAAGAATTGGCCTCCGCATACTCGGACCCGCAAGAAGAGCACAGTGAAGCACAATCCCGTTGAATCCAGTAAGTCGAACACTAAGTCTGGCGAACATGCAACATAGGACTACAGACGAAGTTGTAGCATGAAGCGCAGAAGACCGTGCTGTGTGCAGCCAGCCGCTGCCCAGCGCGCATACCAGCATCACCTCTTCCCAGCTTCTTGCTTCCTGGTGCGAGCTGTCGGTGCTCATGCTGGGGCATCGTGCAAGTCGTGGAATCGATTCTGGGCCAGCTTTGCTCATATTAGGAGCCACAGCCTGGAAGAACGAGAAGTGTGATGTTGAGCAATGCTCCAAAAACCTGAACCGACTGAACCAACCTTAGGGCCTTACGGCTTACCGAAACTTCGCTATGCACGGTGTTCCAATTCTGAGCTAGTCGCAGCTCTGCCACTCTGCCTTGTGTAACATGCCCTCCCTTTTTCCAGGAGCCTCTTATCGCCCAGATGAGGGACCAGTTGGGGGATCTCGTGGAGCACTGTCCAGAGGACAGCCGCATCCGATAGCTCCCGAGCCGATGGTGGAAGATGTCGGCCACATGGGAATGAGCGCAAGCTTGCAGCCGAGTTCTGGGCTACGTCCATTAGAAGTTGATGGATGGCCCTACAAGCTTGCGGGCACATTACATTGCTGCGAAAGTGTCAAGGTCGTGGTCTTCCAGGCTGCCGACAAAACCTGCCGTGAAATTGTCACAGCACGTGGCTGGCTGACATAAGGCTTCTTCCTAATCTTCTACAGCTTGTGACTGCAGCACATACGGCTGAATGCACAAAGTCGACCCTGTCGGGCCAGCCCCCCTGGCCAGGACTTCGTGCACGACCTCAGCATGTGCCGCTTTTTGAGAGGCCTCGGCTTATGCTTGTTTTGCAGATTTGGGGTCGTGATCGGGATTGATCAACTTGAAGCCCCACGGGTGCGTTCGCTATGGAACTTTCTGAGTTAGGGAATTCACAAGTCAGGCGATTCCTGGAGCGTTACTCGCAATACATCCCATCCTGCAGCCCTGCAGTGAGCTGTACGAAACTTTCGTTTCTTTATCATTTTACAGTGATTCTACAGTGACAGCACCAAAGTCCCCAGCGCTTACAAATACCCGACCCCAATTCCGAGATCATGGCCCTCACACCCTGAGGGCACGGCGGCGATCCCCAAGAAGCGGCGCGATTCATGCGAAAGGCTGGAAGTGCGTCTGGGGGGAGGGCTGCAATGCAAGTATAATGTACAGTAATGTAATGCCAGGTCAGATCATGTCAGGCAATGTGTAGGGTGTTTCTGGTGGGAGAGAAACGTCTACCAACAGACATGGACATGTGTGTATGTATATACTGTGTATACGATGTTTATGTGTGTATGCATGCATGCACGTATGCAGGTAGACAGTTATGCATGTATGTATGTCTGTGTGCGAATGCATGCATGTGTGCTTGGCTGTAGCGCATAGCCATGTATGCATGTATGTGCACCAGTAACTGGATTCTTTTTGCGTGCAGGCAATCGAATATCGGTGCCCTGCCTTCAACTGGCTTCGCGTTCGGACCTGCAAGACTGTGGGTTGCTGACGACCTGAGCCTGCGTCATTAGGGCCCTCCACCGCCTTCTTGAAATTAAGCGTTTGCTCGCAAGCTCATTGATGTATGATTTGGATTTTAGCCCATTCTGGGCCCTGTTCGTATTCATCTTCCTGAAGAAGGTGCTTCTGCTCATGCGAAGGCGAAAGTCTAAAGCTCCGGTTCGTCGGGGTTGGTGGCCACGCAGGGCGAGTGGCTTTCAGGGTTTCGATTGGCGCTGAGGTTGGACTTGATCTCGAAGTCGCCCGTCAAGGAGTGTGGTCTTGGGTTTGACTCTTGGACGTGTTGCAGTCAATTTGCCACAACGGCGGCGGTGTGAGCAGGAGATTCGTGAGCGTCTCGGCGGATGCGAGCAGGTGCCTGGTGAAAAAGCCTGAGGTTCAACGTTTCGGGAGAATGATTTTTCTCGAAATTCCGAGGCACCTACGTTTCACACGACAGATGCTTTTGGGCCGTCGTTTCCCCTTGGACCCCCGTGTCTCTAGGTTTAGCTGCGGTCCCGGGCATTCCCTATTCAATCCTTGCGCATTGAGAGGTAGACCTCGAAATGCTGCCCAGAGCAGAAGAACTGCACCTTGGCTTCAAGTTAACCCCAAATACCGGGTTTGGATCCCAAACTCCGAGATCCCAAGCCGTAACCTCGTGCCTTTGAACCTTCGCTGAAACGGAGCTCCCCCACCGAAGTCTTCAGGCTCGACTGCTTTCCCGTGCGCGTCATTCGAGGCCGCTCCATGGACTCTTGGGCCGCAGCTCCCAAGTCGAAAGTCCCGCGAGCTCCTTCAGCTGTGTGTTCTCCCTTCGGAAAGGCTTGCCTTGAGACTTCCGCTGGTGACTTTCGGTTGACTTCCGAAGTCTTGGAATCCGAAAGATACTCGAGCCTGTACCTGCAGGCCCTGGGATATGTGCATGGGAGCCAGAAGAAATCTTTCCAAACACTTCGAAAGCTCTTTGCACAAGATGAGGACTCCTTGCCGATTATCTGTTCTGCCGTGCCTGGGCTAACAGAACCGGCAGGGCCATGGGCAAGGGAGTCAGAAAGCCGTGGTAATTAAGCCCAAACTATTGAGCTTCGAAGATGTAGGGCTCAGGCGAACACTGAAATTTCGTAGCCCCTGCTCATGCCGTCCCCTCATCATGCATGCTTTCTTGGCCGGGCGCCACCAGCACGACGTGCACGCGGTTTCCCTCAGGTTCTCTGAAGCTACAGCCCTGACCTAGCGCGAGACGAGAGCCCCAGCACTTAGGTCTTGCCAGGGCCCCCGAGCCGAGCCCCATGCAAAATCTGCCGCTGCGTGATGCGAAGTAGAGGTCCGCTTGGCCGACTTCCGGAAGTTGGAATCTGTTTCCCGGCCGCAGACTTCATCCGGACTCAGGTTCTAAAGGTTCGGGATCGCGCTTTGGAGGCTGTCGCGAAGCAGAGTTGGACTTCGTATGTTCTGAACTTCATTGAGGTAGTATAAAGATATTCCTCTCGCACTTATTCCAAGCCATGATGGCTGACACTGATAGGCTCAAGGCAGCGTAGTGCAGCTGCACAAGCCCTGTGGGTAGCGGGACGCTGCAAGCGAAGCTCCTCATAGCGAGGCAAAACTGACATTATCTACATACCCTGCAAGCCCTAGATGTCAATCCCCCAGAGCCCGGCAGCCGTTCAGTTTGGAGATGCGGCTAGACGCCTGGCAGCAATTATCCGATGCACTGATGGGATCGCTCGGCTTCTTCGGATTTTGGGGCTTGGACATCTCAAAGCTGAGGGTCGCCTCTTGATCCCATCGCTTGAATTCCAAAAGCTTCTGCAAGAAGTTGGCCCATCAGACCCCAGCCCTGCCTGCCTGGCTGACTGGCTGCCTGGCTGGCTTCATGCATGTTCAGTGTATGTGTAGTCGTCATGCATCCCAGGAGACGACTTCATACTGGCACAGCTGGAGCAGCGCTGGATGGTGCTCCACAACCTCAGCAAAAAGCAGTGCCTCGAACATAGCCGCAAGAGTGTCATTGGGGACTCCGGGTTCCGGTGCCGGCTTCAGGCAAGTTCCTGCGGCTTGGCTGGCCTCTGTTGCCCAAACTTCAGGGCAACATATCTTGAGAGAGCGCACGAGCCCTGATTACATCGGAAAGGAGACAGCCCTGGAGGCGGGGCTTGGGGCATCCTAGGCTTTATGAATCCCACTCCAACACCTTTTTTGGGTTTCGGAGCCCCTGCAACACGTAGCCCAAAATCTGGAGGGAGAAAAGAGATGCTGTGTAAGGGCAGAAACGACACCTCACAATAGGACCAAGGCTTGATCGCAAGAGATCTTGTCCGTTCAGCACCCCTGAAAATGGTTTGTATTTCCTGCGACACGACAAGGCAGGAAATAGTAGTAATGTTAGTAATGGATGCAAAGAGGAAATAGCAGCCAGGATTTCGGTAAGCAATCCGGAAAAGTTAGGAAAGCTCGTACAGGTCATACTAGGAAGATTTTTTTTGGACGTGAAGGGCCACAGCGAAGAAGTGATTTGTACCAAGGCGCCGCATGGTGAAATACTTCGAGGCCGCTCATGAAAGAATTCCGACCACTCACTGGGGTGGACTTGGACTGCCCGTGGTTTGGACCAGCCATCTCTTCGACTACCTTGATTCTTTGTCTTGGGTCGTCTCTGAGTGTAAAGGGGCATCGCCATCCTCTAAAAGCACTTTCGATCAGCACAGCTGCGACAAAACCCCATGAGCAGCTTTGAAAGCTGCCGGAACAGAATCCCCACGTGTAACATCCCACATCTCTCTCTCTCTGTCTATCTCGCTATCTCTTCATCTCTCTATCTCGCTATCTCTTCACCTCTCTCTATCTCTTTCTCTATCTCTCTCTCTCTCTCTCTATCTCTCTCTCTATATCTCTCTCTCTCTATCTCTCTCTCTCTTTCTCTTTTCACCTCTGTCTCGATCCTGTTTTTCGCCCCAAGTGTTAGAGATGCTACTTCGAGCCTATCCTTGGATCTTGGTCTGCAGATTCGCGACATGAATGGCGCTGCGATTTCAACCCTCATGTCCGAGGGCACCAACCAGCTTTCGAAGATAAAGCTCCTCGCCCGATTGCAGAGGGGTCCGGGGGGGTAGGCCCGAACACGCTTTGGAGTCTTGGGGGGCAAAGCTGGAGCTGAGGAGCACCCTGGGCCTGGTCCAAGACTTCTACCCGGAGATGATCCATCAGGTCCGAGGGTGCTCTTCTGAAGGGATTTTTAGGGCACAGCGCACCGTGTGATGTCGCTTTCGGCTTGTGGCCGCAATGTGCTGCAGGTCTCGGTGCTCAACTCCACTTCTGCGTTCTCGGGGCCCCTCGGGTGAAGTTGGCGCAGTTGGAGCCCTGCCCCTTCCCTTCTACCCGAGACCGAAATTCTTTGGGGTCTGCGTTCGAGGATGATTTATACTCGGCTATGGGAGATCTTCAGGTCTTGAGATGCACACTTTTCCACATCTCAGCTCAGCTGACTGCGGACGCTACCCCCAAAGGCAGAGGTTCCCGCACCGACAGGAACTCTCTCAGCCAATAGGCCAGGCCTAGGCCAGGCCGAAGTCCGGCAAAACCCGGGCCTCAGGGCCGTTTGACGACGTTTTTGACGAAGTTCACGCCTGATGTTGATCTGTCCTGACAAGGCGGTGCCTGTGCCTTTGGAATCGAGCCATGCAGCTTGTTCACTTCAAGTCTCAGGCTTTTCAACTTTGTCTCCCCGCTGCTGAATGAGCGGATGCAGGCCAAGATCAAGGCCTCTCCAGGGGGCCGGTGCCTTGCATTCTGGGAGTGGCAAAAGATGTCTTCTGGAGGTCTCCGCCACCGGCCTCCCCTTCGAGGACCCCCAGACCAAGGGGATTGCCAGCGAGCAAACGATACCTCGAAAGTCCATAAGCACTTGGGCCTGCGCCTACAAGCTTCGCGTTCCATTCCGGATGCGAACAAGATGAAGTTGGGCCCTTACTTGGACAAAGTAAGTAGTGACAGCTTCGTTGCATCCAGGTCGAGCAAAGGCAACTGAAACTGCACCGAACTTGACACCAGCGCCACACCCGGAAACAGAACCATCGACAGGCGATAGGGCTGGTTAGATGTCAAGGCAGCCTTCGACTTCGAGTCCTCAACTTCTACCACCCAATCTTGAATCTCCATTCTCAGACACGCTTGCAGGAGCTTGCCGGGCTTATGGAGCCCAAGGCCCTGCACTCTTGGGTGCAGGCGCGGGCTTGCCTTCAGCTCGAGCTTCGGTTCCGTGCGCTTGCTTCTGTCCGATGGTTCTCCAGGGTTGTTCGCTCATACTTCTCCAAGGAACCTTACACAGGCACCCCGCCGCAGCCTGAATATCGAGCCAAGAGCCAGGTGCACGTCTTCTAGACCCCAACACGACATGATGGGATATCCTCCGCTGTGTCCACCGTCGCAGGAGACCAGCAAACATCTCAGTCCAGCTCCTAGCAAGTGGTGCCAGGGAAGATCTGGGATTGCAGAGAGGCACAGCACACTTCTCGGCCCAAAGTCGGCTTCAAATGTTCAGAGCACCCGGACCTAGGTTGGTCGCATTTGGTTGTGCCCAGTGGTGGGAATGCAGCCAGCCTGCAGTGGATATTGTGAAGGGAAGTCAGGATGGAGAGATTCTGCCTTGAGGACTTTCGTTTCGGGTCTGGTCTGAAGCCCGGTGATAAAATTGCACTTCTCTGCGTATGTTGGCCAAGTCAGCAATGGCATGAGATGCAAGCCTGAAACTGGGCTTCCGGCAAGAACCGAAACGAATTTCTTCGTTGACCTGCACGGGACATGTAAAATCCTGTCCAAGCCAAAACTTCCGGGGCCTTAGTTGCAGGTGTGTTGGCGCGTTGCCTAGTCCCAGTACGACTATTCTCATTGTTCCTCCTGCGCCCCTAAAGCTGCTGAAACAACAACAACTACTACTACCACCACCACTACCACTACCACTGCCACTGCCACTGCCACTGCCACTGCCACCGCCACCGCCACCGCCACTGCCACTAGCACTAGCACTAGCACTAGCACTAGCACTAGCACTAGCACTAGCACTACCACTACCACTACCACTACCACTACCACTACCACTACCACTACCACTACCACTACCACTACCACTACCACTACCACTACCACTACTACGACGACTACTACTACTACTACTACTACGACTACGACTACGACTACGACTACGACTACTACTACGACAACTGCAAGCCACTCATTTTCCGCTGTTGTGACAGCTTGAGAGGAATGACGCCTAGGCCTCTAAAGAAGAGAAGAAAAGGCCATGCAGCCATGCAGTCCAGGAATTCTTCTCGCGCTGGTTGCATCCGGGAGATTCGCTGGAGTGGACCCTGGGCCCTACATCGACAAGATGTGCTATCTGTTTGGATTGGCGGTTTCGTTCTTCAAGGGTTTCTAGGACTGGGAATCACAGATTGTTGAGACGCAGAGGAATCTGGATCGGGACACACACATGCCACCTCGCCACATCAACCGAAGGCCCAAGCCCAAAATCGCAATCCGCTTGGCCTCTCAGAGAAGTGCCCAGCTCCCTGCTCCTTGTCTTCCGCAGTCCGGAGCGAGGGGCTAGTGGTGACTACTGCACGTAAGGACAGCCATCCTCGAGGATGGAGAGCAGGCAGCAGGGTTCCGGAAGGAGAGCAGGGCCGTTCAGATTCAGATGCCGCCTCTGCCATGTGTTCGGCTGGCGCAGCCTGTCGCGCGTGCTGGCATGTCTTCTTTGCGAGCTTGGGGAGACCGGAGACCACCATCGCAGCCGCCCTGCTTGCGCAGGTGATGATTCACAGTGCCTTCCTTCCACAGGCGTGTTGCCGGATCACTTGCAGAAAACTCCTCTGTACTAGGATAGCAAAGCCATGGCACGGCAAACTCCAAGAGTTGCCTTGTGGATGCGGATTCCAACCGCGTCCACCAGGCGGAGTTTGGGACGGGAGCTTCCTGCCGCAAGCTTTCGACCTGAAGCCTTAGCAGCCTTAGCAGTTTCTGACCGGCTTTGCAGGATGAGTCGAGACAAGAAGAGCTGGCTTTCGTGGGCGAGGAGTTGTTGCACCTCTTACAAGATGTCGGGTAGAACTTGCGACGCAAAGAAGTCGCTAAAAGATCTGCAATCAAGTTTGACTTTAACTGAAGCTCGGCTAAGTGTCTCAATTTCGCCCCTTGGACCCCTTCGCCCAAACACTGTTCGAATCCTGCAGGTGCATGGCCCCCCCAACCCCTGCAAAAGGAGAAGCTGCTTCTGCGGAAAGCTATCACCAGCGAGTTTGAGGCACCGGCGGAAGGCGTGGCCTCGGGTTCTGGATGGGGAAGGGCAGTCGGCTTCGGGACTTGTCACAGTGCTGGTGGCCCGCAAACGATTGCAGTTGATTGTCGCGAAATGTATGTTGTTGATTGCACAAAGAGCTCATATCCAAGCCCCGGGAGAATCCCGAAGACCCGACTGAGGAGAGCAGAGAGACATAGTTTCCAGCGCGAGATTACCCTCGAAGCCAAGATCCCTTCTTTTCCGTGCTATCGACTATCGACCTCTGTCTAATCAGCCTTAACCTTGAGGAACCCAGATATGATAAACGTGGGATCCATTCGATACAGCTCAGACGGGTGTTTGGTCCTTGTACCCGGGTTTCGTGGAGCTTGGCATCCTTTCCTGAACGACTCTCTGCTCTCCTGCACAGGCAGAAGTCCGACTGGTTGTTTTAAATTTTCATTTGTGTGCGGAGGGCCTGGCAGACTGCTCATTCCGGAAGGAGAAGATATGTCAGAGACAGAGAGTCGTGGTAGTGGTGAGATGCAGCAATCGCTGTGCGATGGTTGTTGTAGGTGCCCCGTTGGGGGGGCGTAGGAAAAAAGAACGAGTGGATGCAGACACTTCCCAGGTGTGCACATGCGGTAGTGGCGGGTGGGAAATTGAAAGAATTGCCCTCTCGTTCTTGGATTCGGTCTGGCCTTTCCTGGCTTGGCTTGGACAGTTACCACAACCCTCAAAGAGGTGCGGATCGATTGAGGGCCAGAGTTTCATAAAAGTAGTTGTGCTTGTAGACTGCAGACATGTCAAAGAGCTGGAAACACTCACGAGCTGTCTGTAAATGCCACGTGCAAACGCGTCAGATGTGCACAGTCGACTCAGCGGTGCAGGTATTTACTGGCTTTGTGTGCCGGCCCCGTCCAACGGCTGTCAGCATTGATGGAGAACACTGTCTGTTCTGCTTCTGCTTACCCCAAGAGCTGCAGCCTAAACTCTAAATCCCAAACTGCAGCAGATACTTTCCAAACTCGAAGCGTTGTGCATTCCTCTCTCCAACACAAGGTCGACAACAGCGCCTCGTGGGTGAGCAGCAAGACAATCACCATCGACGTTCGGTGATCTCACTGACTTGGAGATTTCACAGCACCTCCCACTACTCCCCCGAAGCCTGAGCCAAAGCACAGACTGAGCAACGAATACCCTCGCTGCTTGATGGCTTGTGGTTTGGCGGCATAGGGTTGTGCTGGGCCGGAGGGGCTTGGCGTAGGAAAGTAGTCCGACATGAGGCTCGCGAGACTCGCCACGCGCGAAAGGCTGCAGCTGCCCAGAAAGAGCAAAAAGACTCCGGTGCCCGGAAGAGCTTCTAGCCGAGAAAGAACCATCAGCAGACAGGAGTTCATAATGCCTCGCAAAAATGGAAGCATCGACATGACTGTGTGTTTCAAGATGAGTGACTGAGACTTTTATTGTAGCAAGTCTTGTAGCAACAGGACACACACACACACGCACACTCTCTTCTGCGTGCACGTCGTGCAAAGGCTGCTGCAGCCTAGCCATATGCATGCGGTACATACATATGCAGATACATACATAGGTACGTACATACGCATGTACATACATGCTGTACACAAACGCGCACATACATATGCATACATACGCATGTATGCACATACATAATTGCATACACACGTATCTACATACATCCACAAACTGGAGTACATACATACGTACACGTGTACATACATACATACGTACCTGCATATATGCATGCCTGCGTAAGTACCTCTGTGCATACGTACATACGTAACTTGATATATGAATGCCAGTGTTCATATGTACATGCGCACTTACATGCATCCATGCATACATACATACATACATACATAGAGACATACACATGTATCTAGGTAAAGTGCAGATACACACATCACTGTGCGAACAAATCATTGACTATGTACGTCTGTACGTGTATATATGTGTATGGATGTGTGTACATGTATTGTATATGTGTGTACGTATGTGTATGCACATGTATGTAAATGACTTTACACGTATAGCATACTTATGTATGCATGTATTTATTGAATGCACGCATGCATATACACATGTATGCGCGCACACACACACATATATATATATCTATCTATGTATGTATAAATATGCATATATACAATATATATATATATATATATATATATCTATATATGTATGTATGTATATATTTACACATATATATATATATATGTATGTATGTATATATATATATATATATATATATATATTTACATACACACACATATATATATATATATATAGAGAGAGAGAGAGAGAGAGACAGTTTACATATAAGTATGTCTATATATATATATACACATACATACACAGCTGTCTGTCTGCCTGCCTGTATGCATGCATGCATGCATGAATGCAGGTATACATATTCATACATACATACACATGCATGTCGGTCTGCCTGCCTACCTGCGTGCATGTACGTGTGCACGAATGCATGCATGCATGTATGCATGTATGTATGTATGTACCTATGCGTATATTTCCCAGTGCTTGCCTGCAGCCGTGCGGCAGCGAACCTGTGAGACTTGTCTCTGAAGCATCCGCTCATCAAGTCGAAGCCCGGGAGCACAATTTTGCCGTGAGGCAAGCGTAGACTTCGAGTGCGAACCGTGGCCAAGCTTTCCCCAGGCACCTTGCAACCAGTTGCATTTCGGGTAGCGTGGGTATTTGGATTGCGGTGAGGAGCTATAGGGGTTTATCGAAGGTACCTGGCCTTCTTTGCTTTCGAGTGTTTAAGAGACTTTCAGCAGCACGTGCCAGCCGCGATCTGGGGACTCAGCGACATTGTCGAGTTACGATCTGGATGCCAAACAACATTTAAAGGCAGTGCCAGTTGAGATCACGACTCCTAGCAGCTAGCAGACACATTTGGCGTTATCCCACACTTGTGGTACCAGTATTGGTGTCTATCCGTTTGAGAGCCGGCGTTTCAGTGTTTCCTCAGCGACGAATCTTCGGGTTGTGGGGATTTTCCAGGCTCGAGACCTTTGCCAACAGCTGCTGGCCTTCCAGCCCGAGGATGCGAAAACTGCAACAGTGATCTGATCAACTCCAAGTGCTGGTCAGGTTCAAGACGGTGCTATCTGGCCAAGCATAAAGAGCCGAATCTTAGATCTCGGGAGTTTTGGGTGAGGTTTCGCCAGCACTAATGCGAAGTGCGCTTTCTTGGAGTGTCTTGAAGGTTTGGTGTTCTGACAGCTTTCGCAGGAACAAGGTATGGAAAGGTTTTCTGGCACTTTGCATCAAAGCCCAACTTTGCGAAAGGTGCAGTCCCGGAGCAGAAACATGTTTTTCCTTGAAAGACTCAGTTCAATTCGTTAGCAGAGATCGCAGCCAGGACAGAAGTCCGTCTGCGAGGGCCGCGCTGAACCACCCTTGGTTGAAGGGCAAGTGAGCCTTCGCAAAAATGGCCTTTCGTGTCGAGGTTTTTTCCGTGGAGCTCGGCCACTCCTCCGTGCGATCCTTTGCGTCGCTGCGGTTACGGTTCGATTCCGGGGATCCATGGCTCGCGAGATTGGACTCGTAGTAATCCTCTCCGTATTTCACAGGGATGAGATGTTTCGAAGAGAAGCACCGCTTCTTCCATTCGCAAGTCCTGAATGCAGCTGCAAGAGATAGTTCTCTCATCAGAAGCCTCCATTCCTGAAGCTCTGGTTCACCAGCATGCTGTTGCCAAGCACGTGATCGTTAATTGCAAGAGAAGTCGAGCATGCAAGACATGCACGACCCAGTTACTGGTTCTTCAGTCAGCTTCCGGAGTTAGGACTAAGTGAAGTGTCGAGCTCTCAGGGGCAACATCCTCCCCTCGCTCCCCGCGTTTGCAGGGAAGGCTTTCTGATGCACTGGACAAAGGTCTAGGCCTCTAGGCCTCAACACGTCGAAGCCGTCACAGCATGAACATATGACAGAGCAGCAGATCTTGTGTTTCCCATCGGTAAACACCCACTACAAATAGGTCTCTAGAAGCAGCAGCAGCAGCAGCAGCCGGACTTCGACCCTGCAACTCAAGGCCCTTAGTTTGAGACATCCTGCAACTGAGTCTGTCAGAAGCCTTTCCCAATCAGACAGCCTTCCTTGCCTCTTTGCAGATCCGTGACTGGGTGCAGGGGCCTTCATCTACTGGTGGCGAGTGTACCCTGGAACCCAGTCCATCCAAGACCCAGTGACGTGAAGAGATGCCCCTGCTGCCGCTCTCGAAGCTAGAACACTTGTCCGGGATGCGACCCGGAGCAAGGCCATCAAGGGCCTGGCACCGGCACTCTGTGAACAAGGAAGGTCTTGAATGCTCGTTTGAAACTATCATCCCGGATGCTGGCGGATGGAGTAGTCATGTGTTGAGAGCATCCAGCCAAAGGCTGTGGTCTCGTTGCAGTGATTGCATGCTCCCTCATGATCAGGGTTTTCCATTTCGACGGCTCCCATGCCCCACCCTTAAGGGAGCTGCCGGAAGTGCAAGCAATACCTCGCATGTGCAGAGCTTGCCAAGGTTCCGGTCGATGTCAAGGACCCCTCCACCACCACAGTAAATCCAGCAAGCTCAGCTCGGCACATGCGCGGCGAACTCGCAGCTGCGCAACACGCAGGTGGCACGCCGAGGCCGAACCGCGCCGTTGTCAAAAATGCCCTTGCTTCTCGTTCACCATTATCTCTGGAGTAGCAGAACTGGCCCCACCTTCGTGGGTGCAAATCCTCAGAGAAGGAGGGGAAGCTTCTGATGTTTCTCAGGGTGAGTATGGCTTTGTCGAACAAATCATTCTGAGGCTGCTTGAAGTTGAAGGTAACACGTCTTTTAATGCACGTTTCGCAATTTAGATCTTGGCACAGGGTATACCGGCCCGTTACAGAATGCTGCTCGCTGCCAGCCGTGTAGGCTGCGATGACTGAGTAGTGCAGCACACTTCCACATTCCGTCCGATTCCCTTTCCGAGTCTTCGGGAAAAGGAGCCTCCGACATACCGCAGCGTGTCCCATCGACTCTCGCACCCTCTGCCCTTGCATTTCCGGTCTTTGGTTGCTCAGGAGAGTCGCTTCAGGCATGCAGCAGGCTGCACTCCCAAGTGATTTGCACCGTGGCTGCAGGGGTTCCAGACACCTGGCTGTAGCGGACTTCCCATGCTTGTCGCCCGAGGTCAAGCCACGGTGCGAACTTGCCGTCTCGGATCGATGCAAAGGTGAAGCCCGACAAGAAGCAAAGAGCAGTTATACAGAGCCTAGCCGGCGCTGACGTGTTGCAGTTGCTGCTGCAGCAGGTTGCTGAGCGTGCTTCGTTGGATGGGATGGTCATGGAGTCTTTCTACCTGCAGCAGCAGATCCACTGGGAGATCGAGAAACACCCAAGTCCTCTTGCACCGCCTAAGACAATGAGAAATCTCCACAGGCTCTTGTCTCGCATGAGCTGGGATCGTATGATCCAGTTCCTCCGGCATAGCCCTACTTGTGAAAGCAGCTTCCTGGACGATGTGCAGACAAGGATGGTCTCTTTGCGACCAGGAGCTTTGAGTGACCCCAGTGGTCTCAGACATGCCAAGTCCGTATGGCTATAGCTCATGCGGACGTGATACCGCTGTCCAGAGGTGAAGCTCAGACTTTTTTGATGAACCTGTCGCATCGTGGCAGGATCATGCAGTAGCAGTAGCACAGCATTTTGTCTTCGTGCAAACTCTTTGAATGTGCCTAGAGGGGCACGACTCGGCCAACGCGCCCCAGCTCGTCCTTCTGGCGCACACCAAAGCTTCGGCTGCTGTCCAGTTCCGGGCTTGAGCGCGTCCGAGTCTCCGAACAGACCTTGTTCGGCCAATCCGTCTCCGTCTCGTTACAGTACAGAGTCATTCCCGTCTCACCACTCTCCGTGTTTGATTCAGTGCCCTCGAGCTGCAGAAAGTCGTCTGTGGCACGGCCGCAGCCCGTCCTTTGCCCTCGTTCTTGCTGCTGGATGCCTTCTCCGCAGAACCTGGTTGAAACAGGTGACGACGTGGTAGATATCAGATACACGTAGATAGGACCCCAGTCTCTGCCGGAGGCTTCCTGCCAAGGCTGTCTGGGCTGTTGGGACCAGTCCTTCATGATGTAGGCGAGGGGATCACTCTCACAGGCCTGCTTGCTTGACAGGAGCATGGCGCATGTGGCGCGAGAACTTCTGAAAAAGGAGCTGGTGAATCTCATGAAGGACTGCTCAATCAACGATGTACGTATGACACCTTGCGGCACAAGCGCGCCCCGCCCATGTGTTTCTGTCGTGTTCCGTTTGCAATCGTGCTTCTCTCCCAACCACGTGCAACTGTTTGAGACCAGATAGCAAATATCGTCCGAACTCGCACCCGCAATTGCAACCCACATTCAGAAAGATCGCCGAGGGAGAGGCTTTCAAGGTTTCGCGAGGAAGTGGAAAAAAGCATGAGGCACAATTGAATGCAATCTCAGCTCCTTGCTGTGTGGAGGATGAGAGCTGTGGCTTTTCCGTTGGCCTGGAGGCAGGTATTCACTACATGTCCCGGACATCCAATAAACGTCCCCCGTGGGGAGACTGCGGTTTGGGGTCGTGTTTCAGGGTAGGGGAGGAGCTTTGCAGAGTATACCCATAGAATCTTGACTGCGCAAGACAATCAGGATGATGCCATATGGTTGATGGAATTGGATCAGCATCGGATCTCTACTCTAGGAGAGTCAGCGATTCGCAGCAACTGTTTGCCAGCCCAATTCCCAAATGTATTGAGCCGGGAATCGAAGTCTATATACCCTGAGCATCTGCAGGATGACTCGGACTTCTTCACCTGGCGGGTTGTCTTTGAAGGTCCATCAGATAGCCTGCCGGGTGCTTGGGACCATGAGCGCATTCAGCATGCAGAAGTCGATGAGTCTATCTCGTGTAGGCCTACGGTTTGGACAGTCCAGGCTTGCAGATTGAAATGGCGCAGGTCTCTAAGCCCACGCCGCTCAGATTCTCAAGCAAACGACAACTTCCAACACCTTCCATGTAGCAGACCGAGACTGCTCACCAATCTGCCCTGCCGAAGCTGAAGGTACGAGGGCGGCATCTTTACCGCGATACTGAAGTTTCCAGGTGACTTCCCAAACAATCCGCCAGAAATGAGGCCTGGTTCTGGCAGGGCGGAGGAATGTAAGATCTGGGAGTGGGACTGTTGACTTCTCGTAGGCTCAGGTTCGATCTCGGGGCTGTGTGATCTGATAATACGTCGCAGAGTCTCGAGGCCTGCCAACAAAACAAGTGTCAGGTTTGAGACAGAGATGTGGCATCCCAACATCTACCCGGATGGCCGTGCACTCCGGGCGAATTGCGTTGAGTTTCAGAACTCCTGTCGCTTTTGGCACAGGCGGAGTTGATTTTCGTGAGAACATCGCTTTGAGTAGAGTGCTCTTGGTTTCGTTTGCTGGGTGGACATTACGCCCGTTTGCTGTTAACCTCGCGCCAGCTTCAATCTCTGGAGCCGATGCTTCAAACTCTTGCAAGCTCCTGTTTCATGGGCCAGGTCTGCATCTCGATCCTACACCCACCAGGGACGGACAGATTCAACGACCAGGCGGGAAGAGCGGACATAATCACACGACACCTCTGAGTAAAGGCAGTTTTGCATCTGTTTGTCGCGAACATGGTGGAGACGATTCAATGAGCAAGTCAGCTCCCGCGTTTTGCGTAGGCCAGGCGTGTTCGGCAGGTGCACCCACAGCATTGAGCGCCACAAGCATCATCAAGTCACGCGATGGTGGGTCTTGATCGTCTAAATCCATGCACCATGCACGTTCGGCTGTGTCTTTGCCCTGCAGCTTGCGGGGTTCTCCAGGAGACGGCCGATGAGCGCTGGCGACCGATCCTCGGGGTGCACAGCATCTTAATCAGCGTGGGCCCGGCCGTTGCTGCTGGTTGCTTCTTGCGGCTTCAGAGTTTCAGGAATTCGGGCTGCAGCTAGGAAGTGGGGAGATGTACTCGCTTCGGGCACAAGCTGGGACTGGAGTGTAGTTTCGGCCCAGGTTAGGCCTTCGGACCTCTTGGCCTCTTGGCTTCGGGACGGGGTCCAGGCCTGAGCCGCGTGCCAGGTCATCTCGATGCTCGTAGACCCGAACTTGAACTCTCCGGCGAACATTGACGCCGCAGTCCATATGAAGAATGACTTCGAGGGCTGGAAGAAGAAGGCACATTCAAGAGTTGAAATGTGGGGGAGGAGCTAGATGACTCCCGCAAGGGGTTGACGGGTCGAACCTGAAGCTTCGCTTGTGAAGATCAACCCCACGGGGATTGGGAGAGATCTCGAAGCTGTAGAATCAGCATCTGTATTCGTGAATCTGGATGCTATCATTGTGGGTCCCTTGGTATTTAGATGTCCAGCTCAGGCTGCAGACGGGTCCTATCAGCCATTATTTTCAAGGTACAGGCGCACAGAGTCGGAAGAAGCGCGTCAAGGTTCCAAGCCAAGCTATCAGCCTGAACCGTTCAAGTTAGGATATAGTAGACTATCGCTCCTTTTGGCTTTTTCTGCCAGGTAAGGCAACTGACGCGGAAGAGTGTTGAAGGCTGAGACGATCCAAGTACTGTGTCTCTTAGAAGCGAAGTTGGGCCAGCTCACTGCTGACACTGGCCCCCACACGGAGATACGAGTAATATTGGGAGAAGTAGTTCAGGCTCACCACAGCTTTCCGCTCACGGAGTTTCTACTCTGTTCAACCTGTGCAGACAGTGAAGTACATGGATCTCCGGTCTGGCTGGAGATGCAGTCTCACATCGTTCCCAAGGCGGCAGTGAAGGAATTCTGCATGAAAAAATCTCCCCAAACCCGAAGTGTTCTCGCGAAGCCCTTATGCCAACAGAAGTACGGCAATTTACAGCAGGAACATACACTCCAGGAAGACAGCGCTACCTTTCCTCCGTCGCGTGCCTGCATCTCTGGCCACTTGCACTCGATTGGAGCGCCATTTTCACGTGTGTCAGCCAAAAGAATGGACACGCCGTGGAAGACTTCACTTGCAAGTCCGGGAGTTTGTTCACGAAGGAGCTCGCAACCGCGCTAGGCACAAAAAGGAAGTGAATATCAGTTTTGGATGTACTCATATGTACCCTAAGCCACAGGGTTCATGACCTCGGTGCTAGCAAGGCGCCATGGGAGGGCCCCGGGCTGGCTCTAGTTCTTCAGAAACTGTCCTGTGTTGTTGGAGCTCCTTCGTCGACTCATTGAAAGTTCTGCGTTACGCAGAGATGCCACGATAATCATCGACATGTGTGTAGAGGCGGTGCTTACTCTGTGTCTCACCCAGGAGCGAAGGGGATCATGTTATGCAGCGAGCTGAGAGCATGGAGGGCTTGGCAGTTCTGTGGGAGTTCGCAGGCCCAGGTGTTTCTGGGCCTCAGGGTCCAGGGTATCGGGCTTGGCTTCAAGCGACCCGATCACAGGGTTCGTTGTTGGAGTCAGATTCAGCGATGGATGCCTTCAGAAGAGAGCTTCAAAACTGGCCCAGCTCGACATGATTCCAGTGCTTTAGCTCGCCAGATTGAGGACCAAGAAAGATGACGCCGGGTGACTCCAAGTGTGCTGGACATAGACTGCGGCAAGGAGGAGGGTTGTGAGAGGGATCAGATTGCCTGCATCCTACAGCCAACCCCGGCAGGTTAAAGCTTGCAAGAAGAATCATCGCACTTGGAGTCATTGTTGTGCAGCGACGAATCCCTCGGATTCCTCGGACGCCCGCTTGGCAGCCTGTGGAATGAGGCAGAAGGGTAGAAGGACAGCTTCAGCGGGTTTCCAGGCGGGCGCGACCTTCGGCAGAGTCCCAAAGACTAGCGGCAGAGAGAGTCGTGCGCAAAAGGAAGGGGCGTCCGAGTGTCCCGCGCATGTCGGCCTTTGGGTTGCGAGGCTCCCCTTTTCCCCTGCCCCCCAACCTTTCAGAACTGCTAGAATGGCCGTTTTCATCTCAGCCCCAGGTCTGGGGTTCTGAGATGCTCCGAAAGCTTGGACCAGGGGTCGCACTGCCAAGGCTTACGTCTTCATAGAAGTGATGCCGAAGCAGCAGCCTTCTAGCTCAAGCGAAACAGCAGTTGAACTGACGTCCCGAACTCAACCGTCCTGCACCCCAGCTGGGCCATCTACCCTGAACATCCCTTTACACAGTGATCTTTCACGAATGAAGTTTTTAATGTTCGGAGCCTTGCGGCGGAGTCTCCGGCAAGATGGCCGCGGATCAGATGAAAGGTCTGATGAACTTTGCAGGAAAGTCGCCGTACGGCCAAGATGGCTTGCAGCCAGAGACGCGGGGACCTTGGACCTGTCGATAGGAATTTAGCAGTTAGCAATTGTCACTTGTGCCCTTGACAAGGCTGCTCACAACCTTGCTCACTCGTGTAGCAGGGTGTAAACTGCTAGCCGCCCTAGCCAGAATCAGGAAGGTTCTGCATGCGTGGTGGTGGCGGCAGGTGGTGGTGGTGGTGGTGGTGGTGGTGGTGGTGGTGGTGGTGTTGGTGGTGGTGGTGGTGGCAGTCGAAACAAATCGACACAACCCTCTGTCAAGCTCAGGTGGATGCAGGACGAGCAGTCAGGCGCGACACTGCAAGCAGCAACGGGACGAAGGATATCAAGACAAAGACTTTCCGTTTATGTCCAAAACTCCGATTCGTGCCCGGTTCGTGGCAGTCCATGAACCAAGCGCCTTCCTGCCAGAACAAGCAGGCTTTCAGTCGTCTGCCAAGCAGCTCTGCGTAGATTTTGCCATCCGCAAGCTCCTCAATGCATCGTCACATATGCCACAACGTGCCGGCTGCGCTGCTTCAGTCAGTCACCGCAACGATCGGCTCTGGGCTCTTCCGATGCTGGGCCTCGCGGAGTCGATTCGTCAAACTGCGGAGTGCAGCAATCTGCAGCGTTTCGAAAGCCACAACACACCACAGAAAGTCCCAGGCGCTTGTGGCGCAACGACTCGTTGAGGAGTTTGGCTGCAGACCCACATCACACTATTTTACTACTGGAAGTTCCTGTGATGCGCATATTGGATTATGGAGAAGGATCGCGATTCACTTTCGCATACCACGGCGGATCCGCCCTGCACCCGGACTACAGTGTCGCCTTTCTGAGCAACATGCAGCGAGCCAGGAAGTGCTGGGTGGTGTGGAGTGCGGCAGTGCGGCATGCCTGTTCTCTTCTTTTCACAAGTAGCTGCAGTTTTCTTTTTCTAAATCTCTCAGTGTCTCCGTCTGCTCGGACGAGGCGAAAATTTGTTGGGGCTCTGTTTACATCCCGTTGACCAAAGCTAAATCGCGCTCCGATGCAGCGATAAGCAGTGTTGTCACTGAGCCCGAAAGCAAGCCGGGGCGCTTGCGTCCTGAGCAACGATGTGGCAGCATGCGCGAGTCCACCTCGAAGGGAAGACGAGAGCGTGGAACGCTTTCGGTGAAGAGCCACCGAGCATCGGCCACCTGCGCGCCTAGCTTGCGCAGAGTCAGTCTGGGTTCGGGGGCTCTGGGCCCTCCCTTGCCCGCTCACACAAACCAAAGAAGCGAGGGACCAGAACTGCTTGCTCGAGGGCAGCGATGCCCTGTAACAAAGGGGTAGCCAGCCTTCGGGAATTCAGGCCCGAGCCTCGCAAGCAGTCCGCTTACCCAGACCTCACCCACTGCTAGGCTCGGAGGTCGGCGGCCGTTGGAATGCCGAAGCCCAACGCTTCTTGCGCGACCTGCTTCGGGTTCGGTGGCAGAGAGTCTGGGCGCCGGCTCTTTGCGCGACGGCTTGAGCGCGCTGGTCTCGCTTGCTAACCTTACAAGAAGGTTTCAGGGGGCAGATGATCTGCCTGGTTCCGCTCTACCTACATGTCGTTCATGTAATTTATTTTTTGATAGAAATGACCAAGCAGGCACCACGCGGTTGCCATTGGGTAGTGACAGTGCTGCTGACTGCCGATTGTTGCTTGACTCAACCAAACGAAACGGCCCCGCATTGCGGTGTTGCCTGGTTTCAATTCTCAATCCCGAAAACAAATCGATGGCATGATGACGGATAACATGTTTTTCACCCGTGCCGGTTCAGAAGCCCTTGTGCATTCCTTGCAAGTCGCTTGCGACGGGGCGACCGTTCGCTCACCGTGCTCTCTGTCGATGGGGTCGGTGCTTTGACCTCATCAGCAGGCAGGCCATGCTCACAGCACTCCGCGACAATTCCGAGGCCAATGCCATGTTGCCGTTCGTGCGGCTCTTTCACGGTTCACCGTCCGAATTTGTATGGACCGACGCTGCCAACAACCCTCACACCATACTTCAGGCGGAGGGCGGCGAGCAAGGTGACCCGCTCATGCCGGCCCTTTTCGCCAGACGAATTCGTTGCTGCGCACCTCCACACCCTTTCGGCGCAGCACCGCACTTTCCTCGAGCTCCTCCCCACTCTTCCCGACCTCCAGGTCGCCTGGTTGTTGCTGCTTTACTGCTCACGCCCTCGTGCACCATACATCCTACGGACCGCCGCGTGCTGCATTGGCTGGCCCTGCTGCTACAGGTCCACGCTGCCCAACCTCGCTCTCCGCCGGGCCCATTTGCCGCTCCGCCACCGGGATCTCGGCCTGCGCAGTGCTGCTGCACATGCCCCTGCAGCCTACTTTGCTTCATGGGCCGACTCGCTTCGCGATATCAGAGCCCGCGCAAGCGCGTTCTGCGAGGACATCCTGCAACAGCTCGCTGGTCCTGCATACGACCACCGCCATAAAAATCCTGACCATCCACGGTCTGGGCATGCCAGCCGGGGGTGAGCTCGTCACAGAACCTCCAGCAGAAGCCGAGGCCGACCGCGCGCTTCACGAGCCTGCCGACCTCGCGCGGATAGCAGTGTGCTGCTGCCTCCAAGTTTGTTGACGATGCCCTCCTCGCTGATTTGACCTCCGCGCTTGACGCAGCGTCCATTGCTTTGCTGCATTATATGCTGCATTCCCAGGCACTTTGCGGGTCGAGCGCTTGGATTCAGCTGCTTATCGTGTTCTCCTGCTCCGGCGACTCCACCTTCCACTGCATCTCGATGATGCCACCTGCCGTTGCGGCAGGTTGCGGCGCTCATCTCGACCCCCTCGGCGATCACAGGGCAGCCTGCCCACGCGCTGGATTCCTCCGCGGCCGAGGCCTCCCTTTGGAACGAGTTGCCGCTCGGATGCGCCTGGAAGCTGGAACCACAGTTGCCGCAGATGTCCTCCTGCGGCGGTTTCAGGGTCCGCCCCCTCAACCTTCAGGTGAAAAGGCGCAGACCGTGCTCGGCAGCGGGACAAAAAACGAACAAACTGGACGGCCTCTGCGCTCCAGCGTACTACGACCTCGATGGCAAACACGACGAGGCAGCACCTCGCGGCACGCGTGAGCTCGGGGTAAGTGCGCTCCTTGTTTGCACGAGCGATGCGGACGGCTCCGCCGATAGTGCTGCGCTGGAGGCGCCACGGGCAGCCTTTGGCATCGAGAGCGGAGACAAGGGTGGTGTCGACAGCAAGCTGGATTCCTCCCCAGAACGGGAGCTCGTTGGCGATAACCTCAATTCGCCGGTGGTCGTGCTGACGGGTGATGATGTTGGGATCGAAGCCTTCACTTTATTCTCGGCCTTCGAATTTTAGGGGGGATCCACAAATGAGGGTTGGGATCGGCAACGTGTGTGCTTTCACTTGGGACTTTTGTGGGGGGCGTGGATGTGTATATTAGCTTGGCTGATCGTAGAGGCGCTTGCTCGCCGGGAGCCAGCTACGCATAATTTCACGAGACATAGACATACATTGGCATGCATGTGGCACATCGAAGGCACGGACATGCAGGCGGCCAACCGAATTTGTCCTAGGTCATTTAGCACCTGAGTTCAAGTATTTTCGTTTTCAAACCATCTGGAGCTCGTTTGTCGAGTGCGCACTGGAACATCACATTCCTGTCATGACCTCATGATAGAATACATGGGCTGTGTTCCATAGCCGCAAACTCGACGAATTCCACTTCGGCTGCAGGTGGCAGCACACATATGTGCCCTCAGCCAGATCCCTTTGCAAAGTCTGAAGGAAGGGTGACTTCTGGCACATGTCGGCACGACTGAAGAAATTTTGCCACTGCCCCTCCAGATAGACAGGCTGCATCTGCAAAAGAAACAAAAAGGTGCAACTGGAGGGCTGGAAAATGAAGAATCTGAGGGTGGACGTCTCAGAAGTCCCGCACTCCTGCACGCATTCCTGAGGCACCTCCTGGACTCCTGCACTTTTCCTTCCGTTTCGTCGGTGTTCTGTGTGCAGCGCCCCGCATAGGACGACGAACCTGAGCATGAAGACCAGGAGTATCCAGGGCGTGCTGGAGCGTATATGGCACAAATGTCACCCAGCCAATGTTACGCAGAGCCATATAAACCGGGAAAAGTGAAGAATCTGTGGGTGCACGCGCCGGAAGTCCTGCGCTCCAGCACGCATTCCGGAGGTGCCCCCTGGAGTCCTGCACTTTCCCTGCTCTTGCATCTGCCCTTATAATATGGATGGCGTCAGACGTACGGTGCCTAAGCTCGCAAAACCGGAGAGCTAGAAGGTTAAGAATCTGGTGTCTGACGTCCCGGAAGTCCTGTGCTCTCGCACGCATTTCCCACGTACCCCCTGGACTCCTGCACGTTCCCTTCTTGCATGCGACATGCCTTTAGAGTATTATTGTAAATCTTTCTTGGCTACCACAAGCAAGCACGGTCTGGCACTAACACCACAGTACAAGACGATATTGCACGGGCATGCGACAGCTAGGAACATGTAAGAGGCTTCCGCGCCTCGGCCTTCGGCTTTCACGTCCACAACAGCCGCCTGCACTCATGCCAGAGCCAACCCACGGGATCCCACGTAAAGAAAGAGCGGAAACCGGCCACTTCCAGCACAGCCATTGTTTTTTGCAAGCAGCTGGCAAGGGTTTAAGTCCTACAGTACATCCGATCAGCCACTGAGGGGAACGTCCATGAACGTCCCAAAGTGCAATCTTCACTTTCTAGGTCCCCCCCCACGAAATCATGGTGCGGCCAGCAGCACCGCGATGGTCCGGACCACTTGCTTTCGCAGCTGCGAGGTTTTTCACAGCCTCGCCACGGTCGCTGCCCCTCCATGGCACCGCCAACGTCGATGGCCCCTCCCCAACCTGAGCGACGTGCTCGCCGAGCACCGACTCGACCACCGCACGCCAAATCGCTTGCCAGCACGATGACGTGCCTTGACGTGCCACCTCGGCGAGCTTGGTCTAGGGGTCCCGCTGGTCAGCGTGGTGTGACGAGCAAAACATAAACTAATTTCGTTTGACATGTTGTTTGGGCTCCCTCGACATGGTTCAGCTCTGGCCATCTGGATATTTGCATGCCGTGCGACTGCCAATTTGCTGTCCTTTCGAGAAATTTCGATCTTTGCCTGCCGCGTGGTTGGATGGGGAAAGACTCAGTGGACAATGATGGGGCTTGCTGTCGACTGCATTGTCACACGGCCCATGCACAGCTTCTCAAGAAAACCAATCTGTTGCATTATCAGGGAGCTAACTGTGGAAAGGCAGAAAGTTCGGGAAAATTCCAAACTGCTTGATTGAAA